AATGTAAAACCTTCTTCTATGTCGGATAGCAAGGTTTAGGATTGTTAAGGGTCAGATTATCGAGTCATGACTGTACCTTCAGTGTAGTGTAGGTAAAGTTGTTAACAAGTTGTTAAAGTTGGTGCTAAATTAACATTAGCACCAACATTAACACCACGTGACTTCTCTTTTTCAAGCTCTTGGTCGTGTTCCTCGAGCCCTTCCTGAGCAGCACAGCAGGGAGCTGCCACGAGGAGTTGGTGCAAAGTTTCTGTAACATCCACAGGATCCAAGGTTTTCCAGCAGAGTTTTCCTCTTTAACAAGATGATTGATCCATTAGAGGTTTTAATGCTGCAGCTGATTGGTGTAATAAAAAAGAAAATCAAATACTTTAGCTTAAAAAAAATGCATTTAATGTGCGAGTACCAGCGTCCTCTTCTCCTTGTCCTTCCACCTTTGTTCTGATTAATTTCCCTTTAAGTTAGATAAAATAAATTTAAGTGTGGTCTTGGGGGTTGTGACAGACGTATGAGTCATTTAATACGTTAGTGATGGAGGTTTTTTCACCAGTTCACCCAGTAAAGAGCCTCGTCCGTCGTTCTCTCGGGAAAGACAGGAAACGTAGCCCCGCCGCACCGACGTGTGCGAATCACGGAACTTTCCATCGAGCGTACAACAATGTAATGAAATTAGGGAGGAAATCCAATTAGATAGGGAGAAATGATTTTATTCAACAGCACAATAAATGAATGCATACAGTTTTTTTTCTTTTTTTTATCAGACATGGTCATATGAGGATGATTAAAACAGATTTTTTTTTTGCTTTTTTAAAATGATATATATACAGATGAATAGATAACTAACATGAGACTGTTTCTTTTCTTCTTCTTTTTTTTAAACATGCAGGGATAGTTTCTTCTTCTTCCTTATTGTGCTTACAGACTTCCACTTTAGGGCAAGAAGCCTCCACTCGAGGTGAAGATGGTACTCTGACAACAAGTCTTTGTCCTTCATTCAACTCTGCTTCGTCGTTTTATATCCTTTCAACAACTAGAGGCGGACTTTGTATGAGGATGGTGCATGTTATGATTCCTCCTTTCTCTCTCTCTCGATCTCTTTTTTTTCTTTTTTCTTTTGGTTAGCAGTTACATATATGAGTTTGTTTACATTTAAAAATACAAAAATATATTACCTCTGTAGTTATTCAAGGAAAGCGTTTGCACATGTAGTAGCAGGATCAGTATCTGTTACCTTCATTGTGACTTTGTTGTACCTCAAACAAGTAACAAGGTCATTTCTATACATGAAATTCAAGTAAACAACATCAGGTCAAACAAAACAAAAACAAAAGTAGATAATCGAGGACCTCATGCATAATGCAGTGTGAGAAACAGAAACAACCAGAACGAGTACAAAGGGAAATCATTTCGATAGTTTGTTGGTTTCTTTATAAAGTACACGGGTTTTTGTCAGTTCGGGTCCGGCCCACTGCTCTGTATCCTGCACAGAAAAGCTCATGCGTGTCGGTAGGATCGGTTTCCTGAGCAGGTTTAAGTCCTCGCCCATGTACGGGGGAAAACGACAAACTGGACTCTCAGACAAGTGTCCAGGAAACCGCCCCGCATCGTTTAGTAAAGCTAGAACACTTAAGGGCCTCTCGTGCGGCGCCGGTCCGGGTCATCAGAACCGGCTGCTCGAGGGCCGATAATCACAGGAAAGAGGAGGGAAGAAGAAGACACTTGGAAGGTTTTTTAAAAAATATCACTTCGGTTTTCTTTTACCTGGATGTCACAAATCTGGCAAAAAAAAAATAACTTGAGGAGAGAGTCTGTGATTGAGAACAAGTAGACGAGCGAGAACATCTCAGACGGATGGCTTGGATCGAAGCTCCACGGTGAGGAGAAGGCAGGGTCCAAAAGGTGGTTCTCACAGTTCCTGTTTTTTTTTTTTTTTCGCTGGGAAGAAGTCGACGATACTGTTACACGGCAGCGTTTTTTTTCTTTTTTTCTTCCATGTACTGTCTGTACAAAGTCCGCCGACACACTCGTGTCGGTGGGAGATGCTGTTCTTCCTCTGACATCAGCTTGTTTGTTTGTTTGTTTGTTTGCAGCATACAGTACACGTTAGGATCACAACTTGCATAGTGTAACAGCACAGCACACGAAACGAACACAAATCCTCGCTTTTTTTTTTTGTTTTTCTCCCCCTCTTGCCTGCTGAATAACAATTTTTAAAAAAAACAAGGGTTCACAACATGTCACACAGCTGGCCATCGAATCCGTCTGCGTCGGGTGGATGACGAAGGTTTGTGCCTCAACATCTGACACAGAATAATACTGATAGACGAAACAAATACTGCGGAGATCAGTGCTATGAGGAGTACACACGAGACTCGGAATATAGTGACTATCTGTTGTTTGGATTGTTGTTTTTTTTTTTTTACAATAAGACTGCTGAGTAGTGGGGTTACTAATCTAGTACTTTGGCTCAGTAGAAAATAGACTCAAAAAAAGGAATATGTGCACCGAATGCATACAAGTATATGGATATACTGCTGTACAAAAGTCAGTGACGCGACTCCTGAACTGCGTCGTCGTCGGTCGGCTACGAATTCTGTCAGTTAAATGCTCGTTAAGGATTTTCCAACAACACATCCCGTCAGCCCCGTAATTAGAGTGCTGTTGCCTGTTTGGGGAAAAAAAAACTTTAAAAAATAATGACTCTGTGACCGGCAGCCTGGCTGTGTGCGCCGCCCTGCCCCCGCCCCGCCAACCTTCATCAGTTCAAAATAGGTAGTAGAAATAACTCAGCTCACGGTGCACCACTTCATGTTGATCCTCTCTTTAAATGCTGATGGTTGTCGATGTACTCAAAGGAATAAGAAGAAAAATAAACATTTCTCAATAATAGTTGGTTCACATAAAGGCCGATGTCGTCCAGGTCCAATACACGTGTTCGGTTCCTATGCAGAAGACGGATGGAATAGAACTCCACCTCGCCTTCCTTCTCAAGTTCGTAATGCAGGGAGACGCCCGTGGAGCGTTTACACTTGATGTCCCTGAACAAGGCTCTTCTGAGCATCCTCATTTTGTGGTGCGCTGGCAGATAATGATTCAGAGTCACACGCTGGCAGAAACACTAACCAGGCCATAGTGTGTTTGGAGAGGGGGGAATAACTTGCTCGATTCTCTTTCGTAGCTCCTCTCGTTCCCTCAGTTCATGGCGTGCTGGCGAATTGTGTGGAAGATCCAGTCCATCTTGGTGGTCCAGCCGCCGTGGTGAGCGTCGTTCATCTGCTTCATGAAGTAGTCCAGGGCCTCCTGCTCCGTCTTGTCCAGGGCCAGCGTCTTCCTGATGTAGGCGATGTCGTCGAACGACTGCAGCTCGGGCATCCCCGAGCCCAGCATCATGGAGAAGAGGTTGATGAAGAGGTTGGCGTGCTGCCGGATTGCCAAGTACGCCTTGTAGCACATCTCCTGGAACCTGAGGGGGAGGGAAGAAAGAAACAGGATGTCAGAAACTGGGACGACACACGGGGACACAGAACCGAATAACTAACAAGCCGGGTCAAATTTAGAAAACAGTTGGATTTAATAATGCAGCGACTCCACCTCATCCACCGGTTTGTTCAGCTCATGTCTAAAGCTGTCGTTACCTTTCGAACTCCCTCGTTTTGGTGCACTCCTGAGTTCCTTTGCTAATAACGATCAGGAAGTCCTGTGTGAGCACGAAGGGAACGCGCTCTCTCTTGTAGCCAAACTTCTTCTTTTTGTGGTCGAGGAAATGTCCAAAGTCTATATGGAACAGCTGTGAACACAAAACAGGTAAGTTAAATATTAAGTACACTCGATAACCCGACACTAAATGTAAAACCTTCTTCTATGTCGGATAGCAAGGCTGTCGGATTGTCAAGACGGAGGTCGAGATACAAGGAGTGATGGGGCTCAAGGGCTTGATGCTGGAAGGCTCATTAGTTGTTAATTATTGTTCATAGTTGTTATAATAACTAGTAGGGCTGGTCCCAATTAATGATGAATATTCAGCGCGGTCGGGGGACACTTCCACCCCGGGGCAGCGCTCTGACGGGGTGGAAGTGTCCAGAACACACCGGCAGTACTTGGCTGCTGATGCTAGTTTAGTTAGCGGTCACGCTTCTGTTTCCACCACTGTTACCATCCATGTTTACTTCTGCAAACACTGAGCACGCTCGCTGCGTGTGACGTCGTCGTGTCCTCTTCTGTGCATGCGGGACACTTTTGGGTCGTATGAAGTTCACACAGCAGATCACATACAAGTCGCATTGAACTGGAAATGTGAAGGAACTCACAAAGAAATCCTCATTGAGCATCAAGTCCTGCAGTGTGAACGTAGCCAATCAGTGGGATTGTTCAGTCAGATAATACGCCGTTATCCTGATTGGTGACATCAAATGTCATGTTGGAGTCGGAATCCAAGGCTGTCGCTATGTTAAGGCTGTTTTTAATGTTTTTTCCTAAAAAGCTGTCGGATAGCGAGGTTTAGGATTGTTAAGGGTCGGATTATCACAACTGTCATTACTTAAAAAAGGAAAAGTTTACGTATAAAGAACGGGACAGAACCAACGTCGGCTGTGGTCTTTACCTGTCCATCGTCTTTGACCATGATGTTGCTGTTGTGCCGGTCTCCGATGCCCAGGATGAAGGTGGCTACACAGTAGCCTGCACATGAGCGTGTGAACAGATCGATGGCCTGGTCATACCTGAGACATCACACGAGTGGGAGGAAAAATCAGATAACTCAGTCACTGTATTAAGATATTTGTAGAAAAAAAAAAAGAAAGAAGGTGTAATTTAACACTATTAACACTCCGTCTGCTCAGCACACGAGACACAGACGCTGTATGAACCAGTGCTTTATGTAACTCACATCTCTCCCTTGTTCTTATCTTTGAGCCACTGATGCAGCGTGTGGCTGTTGAACTGCAGCGCCCCCTTCAGGCCTCCTTTGCACTGGATCTGCATGATGGTGTGAGAGTTCCTCACCACCTCGATCAGACCCACACAGTCGCCGATCGACAGACAACCGTACGGGAGCATCCTGAGGGAAGCAGGACGGAAAACATGAGAGAGGCAGATTCAAAAAAAAAAAAAAACGAAGACAGCAGTGATGGACTTTATGTTAAATGACCCGGGGTGGCCTGCAGGGGTAGCCGCTAATCTGCATTCGAGTATGGAGCGCAGAACATGAAAGGTCCAGCGCCTGTTAATGTGTACCTGCATCCCCGCTGTCATGGCGAAGTGAGGAGCCTACCTGAGATCAAGGCCCTGGTTCTGCCAGATGTTCTCCATTATCCTAATGATCTGCAGCGTCAGCATGTCCTGCCTCAGATCTGCGGAGGCAAAAAAAAAAAAAGAGAGAGACGGGGAGGTGGATAACAGTGAGGTGAATATTAGCTGCTTTGATCAACTCCGTGATGCATTATGGAGCAGAGCTTTCAAAGTCAGGTTGGTGGCAGATGGTGCAGCAGAATGCAGAAGCTGCTGCTGCTGCTGCAGGAAGACGCGTGATTCGAATGAGGTGTTATTCTGTGTAAGGAGCATCGATAGGTTTGTGTTCGTGCACCGCGATGCAACCTGCGGGCTTAGGCTGAATTCTGCTGCAGGTGTGTGTGTGTGTGTGTGTGTGTGTGTGTGTTGAGACGGAGAAGCAATCCGGGAGGGGAAACGCAGCAACAACTCACCGTCTCCATTCTTGAAGATGATTTCGTTGTTTTGAAAGAGCAGCTCTGACATCATGTCGGGGTTTTCCCAATTAAGCCACAGAGGTCGCTTGGCCGACGACATCATTCTGCATTCTTCCAAGCTGAAACAAACACGAGGACAGTTTTAATAATAGCTCCACGTCTGTCTGTACGTAGGAAGATACACAGCGAGCTCTCTGTGTTTGTGGCTGCGAGTCCTGATCCACAACAACGTATGCATTATTTAACCTCAGCTGAGTCACGTCGACCGGGGTATACCGTAAAGACAGGCTGTGCCCTCAGTGCACTTCATTCACTACCTATTTTATCACTTCTTATGTAAAGCCCACAGCGACACTTGCAGAAGAAACAAAACATCAAGCTCCAAACGTTTTCAAGTTGGACAAAAGAGAGCCGACGTACCGGAGGTTCCCCAGCTGATGTGCCGGGTTCAGCGGGGAGGTGAAGCTCTGCAGCGCGTCCATGTAGTCGGGCCTTCTCATCTGCTCCACCAGAAACTTCATCTGAACCTGAGAGGAGACAAACAAATCCACCAGCTATTAGCATCCCGGCGGCGCTGAGCAGCTGGTGAAGCAGGTCAGCCCGGTGAATACGCAGCAAATAGTGTCAACACACTGCCGCTTTCCTTTAGCAAGATTATTTAGATGTTACAATGAGGTAATGCGGCTTCCAGGAGGCGCTTTTGGCTGCTGACATGCGCCCTCTGGTGGTCGTGTTGGAGGTCCACAGCTTTGGCACTGACAAGTGGAAATGGTTTGAGAGATTCTGAAACCTATGAGCGATCTAAAAAGCACCGCAGCTACAGATAAAATGGAGTTTAGATGCAGATTTAAGTGGGTTGGCTAGTTAGCTAGCTAACCGACGCATCGCTAACATAACCGGTATGACTGGCAAATTAGTTAGGGACAGAGTTAGATACTAGATTGCTTCTCTTGATAGGTAGCCAACTTGTACAATTAAGAAACCTCATTAGTGTTTGGTTCAATGCAGATAGAACCACTAGGCCACTAATCTCTGCTGATTCTTCATTACTGATCCAGTGTCTTTAAGTGACATTTTAGTAATTATAAATTTCAGTAAGATGTTTCACTGATTTCCCATCTGCGCTAATTTACTCTCGCTGCTTGTTTCATGTTTAGTGAGAAACTCATGTTTGACTTTAACAATCCTACGTGTCCAAGGTCCATCACGGCTAACAGCAGCTTAATAACGACGCATAGCAAAGTTTATAAAAGGAATAAGAATTGAACAACATAAGAACTACACTCAACAGTTACTGTTTTAGGTACAGCTGTTAAATCTGAATCCATCCAGTGCAATAGTTTTATCATTAAGTTAGTTTTAAAGTGACAGTTCTGCTTTCTGTTGACTATAAAGGCCATCATGGTGGACTGCACTGATATGTTCCTAACATATTATCTACTCTGTTAATGTACATGATGGAGGCAAAACACTTTAAACATAAACCAATGTGTACCACCACTATCCACTACGACCTTCACAAACTGGTGGGTTTGAAAGGACCACCAAAGAACAACCAAAATTATACCATGTACTAAAAGTGTACAAACAGAATTTCCACTTTTTGACAACCTCTGAACCCCTCATCTGTGAGGCGCCATTCTGTCGGGAAACTTTACTAAATCTAAAATCTTAATATTTAATGAAAAGCACTTTTTCTACAGGTCTCATTTAAAAATTCCCCAAAAATAAAGAATTGGTTTTTTTTAAAAAAAAGAAAAAAAAAAGTGGGCCGCTCCATGCAGCTGGGACGCTATGATTGGCTTGGCTACTACAAATAGTCATGTGACAAAAGTTCACGCTGCAGGTTGTGTTAACACAGAGTAGGTCAGAGATAAGTAAGAAAACAAATGAAAAACGGAAGTAGTAAAATATCTGTAATACGTAGAGACACTATTTTTTGTCGTATTGGTAACACCTGTGGGCTCAAATGTTGTACTCCAGTTTTTTTCTTTTCAGTTTTTATAAAAACTCAACTTTTCCTTTTTTAAAACTGAATGCGTCGTTCCTGTCATTACTGCACAGACGGGACGTTTTGATTTCTCTCTATTTCTAGCCGTGGTTGTGTTGTTTCTATGGTAAAACAAGTAAACTGTAAAACTGTGACAAGAGTAAAAAATAAAAACAAAAACTGAAAGCTTTGTAAAAGTATTTTGCAAAACTGTGTTATTGGGTTGGATTAAATCTCACTAGTGTACATAGAGGTGCACCTTCTAGTGATGACAACAATGCTGCTATGCTGGATGTAGCGAGCCAACATGGTGCTTGTGCAAGTACAATTAACTGACATGTTGTAGAGCTGGTCTGAATAGCAACTTCTGATTAAAAATTGCGTGGCAGGCGAATATTCAAATATCAAAATTGCTATCCGGATACCACCACAATGACCGAATATTCTGATATTTGGACATTCGGGTCCAGCCTTAACATTTAATTTCCATATTTCACTCTTATTCTTCTTTGCAACCAAACTAAGTTTTTTTTTTTAGAAATGTCTTCTCCTGGTTCAGTTAAATTCATTTCCCTGCAAGCAACCAGAGAAGAGAAACTGCCCAAACTGTACCGCTCTGTGGCGTCTCTGTGGCCAGATCGGTCCAGATGTCATCAAGATTAAACCCAACGATTCAGTGGATCACAATTAACAGCTGCCAGCTGTCAGATTACCTTCTGTGCCTCATCTTTCTTCTCCTGTTTGAGGAGGTCGGTGAGATTGATGAGCTTCTCCATGGCCTCCACCTGTCTGCTCAGGTGCTTCAGATACATGCCGCAGGCCCGGCAGTAGGACTCCAGCAGCAGGCCGAACCGCTGGCTCACCGTCTTGTTGTGCATCTCTGACCTTCAAACGTAAGCAAGAAAGAGAAAAAAAGCACGCTAAGAGGCCGCATCCTTACGGAAAATGTGTCCCGCCTCCAAAAAGTATCCTCAAAACATGATCTGACGTTAGATATGTCTAAAGAGCCTCCTTAAATCCAACGGAAACAGTTAGTGGCATTCAACCAACAGTTTAACCTTTCACATATAAACAGCTCTGACTTTCTATAAGAGGACCTTTTTATATTAACTTACTTTAAATGCCAGAAGAAGAAATGTCCTATCCTCTGATTGGTTAATGCCTTTTTCAGCAGGAAGCGTGCGAGCGGGTTATCAAGGTACTGCTCATATTTTAAAACCTGGGCACAGGCACAGAAAATAACTTCAGTATATCAACGTGAAACATCATCCGACTTATCAGAACAACATGCCAAGATGAAAAACGTCGGCGCCGTTTGCATAACTTCTATTTACAGCCACATGGGGACACAATGCACCTGAACCAGTTGAATAAGGTACTGGGAGAGCTTGTCGTCCGTTAGGTATTTCTCAAGGCACTTCACGGCAAAGTCTCTGATCATGGGGTCGGGGAAGTTGCAGTCCAGCAACTCCATGGCTTGTTCTGGTTTGATAGCAGGCCAGTCCTTCAGAAGGCAATACATCTGGATAGAAATAAAAACAAAGTCCATGACAGCATATTCTAGTGTTGCAGTAATTTTAAAACCACCCCACAAAGTGTGAGAGTGAGTACAATCTGTGTTTACAATCAGCCTTCAAAATAAAGGCGTGTCAGCGGTAGAACACCTGAGCTCACCTGTGAAACCTCATCTCTGGAGTTCCATTTCACAGCCAGGAGGATCTTGGGAAGGATCTCTGGCATGTTGGCGCAGTCGTGTCTACAACAGTTGGAGTAAAACGTTTAGAACATCCACTACAGCCCCATTTAATCCAAACAGACTCCTCGTACGACCTCAGAAACCCATTAAGACGGCGCAAACCCACGCACACGTTACCTGTGCCTCCACAGGAAGTCCTTCTCCTGCTCAGTGATCTCAGACAGCGGGTCTCTGTTACCCACTTGCCGTAGCTGCTCGTTGTCGCTGTCAGTCAGGGGGTTGTCTCGTGCCAATCTGTTACTCTACGACACCAAACAACACACAGTTTGATGATTTAATCTGAATGTCAGCACTGCAAGGAGTCTACATAAGGCCTAACGTGTGAATTAAAAGGTGATATGAAGATCTCCCAGCGTGGCGCGCACGATGCGACAGCTGCTCGGAATGACAATCGGATCTCACAATGAATCTAATAAGTGACACAAGACAATTAAAAAAAACGAAACCAGAATGCTTGTTATCTTACCAAACCGGTGTGGCAATAATTGAAGCCAAGCTCTCTGGATATAATCCAGTTTGCATGGTCCTCAATCGTGGTCATGTCAGGGAACTTGACGGGGCAGCTGAAATGGTCAAACTCCAGCTCCAGACAAGGGGTTTCCTGTGCGTCGGAGGGGGGGAAAGGTCACTCAAGGTGTTTAGTGTAATCAAAGGAAGGTGTGTCAATGAGTAATTAATTAAGTGGGATAAGAAGCTTGGTCGCTTAAATCGAGGCAGCTTAAGCCCAGCTCTGAAAGCGTACAGGTCGTCACCGGCTCCGTTAAAACTGGGTCATGAGGCTTAGAGGTCAGTGGCTGGCGCAGGCACAGCACACATGTGAAAAAAGCTTAAAATGTTTGGGGACCGGGATCGTTCTGTGCAAAAATACGTTCGTAAAATCAGAAGGAATGTTAATTCTAGTATTTTTTGTGCAAGTTCAGTCTTGTGTTTTGTTTACAAGAGCATATTTTCTAGAGAATAATGTGTTTACATGTGAAATCTGGCCATCACACCATCACCTGTGCTGTAAAAAGAAAAACACTAGAAGCAAAAAACAAGCGAGCAAGCTGCGTGTTCATACGGATATTTGCTGTTCACCTTGTTGGGGTTAGAGCCGGTGACGCCGATGGGGTTGAGCAGGTCTTCCAGGCCGTGTGGAACAGGCCACAGGTTGAGAGCCATTTTTCCTGCTACCAGCGTGTGGGTGTAATCAAACAGGTTGATGTTGCCCCAGGCGAGAGGACAATGCTCCTGCAGGAAAACACCAGTAAGATGATACATATGAAAATCAGCAGAAAGGCAGCGGCTCGGGGCGATGGAACAATACTGGTTCAGCGTAAAGGGGGGGTTTATTTACCATCAGAACATTAAAAATGCTGCAGTCCACTCTGACAGACTTACACAAGACAGACTTACATCATTTGCTCTCGTTTGACCAGATTCTCGCTGGTCGGACAGTCGCCTAATGGAGACAGCTACCTAAACGTCTCCTGGATGTTTACTGAGCTGTATGTTCTTAAAGCAGACGGCCAAAGAGTCAAACATAGACTTTGCAAGCAGGAATGTGCACCTGCGATATGTTCCTCAACAGCTCTTGATAAAAGTCTACTTTCACAAATCATGTAAATGTGTGCAGGTGCGCGCTGGTCCGCTCCGAGTCTCGTCGTTTCAGCATTGATTAAAATCATTTAATATCCTGCAGGTAATAGCTTTTTATGTTTGCTTGTAATTCGTCGAGGCTAATAAGGCTAGCAGGCGCAGCGAACTCGTGGACCGTTTGGTTAATCTAGAGATAAAAAAAGCAGATTCTCTTTTCCGTTGCAACGACTGGTCGATCCGTAGGTGTGATTTTAGTTTGGTTGGTTACAGCCTTGTGCCACTGGTTTCTGGCTGATCGTGACTGTTAATGCAAGTTTTATGGATTGCAGGGAGTGAGGAAGTAAAAGAAGCTATAGATGAAGCGCTATAGATGACAGGCTGCAGACTCCCTTCACTCTAGCCCTGTTCTGGTACAGAAAAGCAGTCAAGTCATGCACGCCGTGAAATGTAATCGCATTTGCCCCTGGCCTGCTGGAGAAAGGCCAATACCTGATTGACTTCTTCATTAAAACAATGCTAGTTTGTTTGGCTGCGAGCAGAAAATGTCACTCTGTCTTTTGATATCGTTCTGACAAAAACACTGTGTCTGCTGTAATATTAAACTACACTCGGTGGCACCCGTGACCAGAGCTGTCACCAAATCAACAAGGTGTGAAATTTTAAAGGTGCAGTCTGAGATTCTGAATTACTTTGTGGATATTTAGCTAATTAACATATATACACTTCCACTTTCCAACTTCATCATCAGCTCATGAGGACATTTATTGAATTAGATTTTATAGCATTTCTGACTTTCTCTACTGACCTCTTTGGCTCCTTTCCTTCCTTTCACAGAGCAGATGGAGAGGCAGAGTCGGGCAGCTCGGGGAATTTCTGGAATGTACATGTCGTAGTTCAGCCACTCGTTCCACCTGGAATCAACAGAGAACGGGCGTCAATGTAATCAGAGAGCTCGGTGAGAAGATCCCTGCATGTGGCACGCTGTTCTTCGCCGGGCGCTACCTGGGGTTTGAGCAGGGAACACGTTGGGTGTTGACGTTGTCGCACAGCTGCTCTCCACCGTGGTATATCCCGGTCCTGACGTAGATCTACAGCGGCAACGTAAAACAACAACTCATCCATTAAAGCGATAACGGCGTCTTTCGGCACATTTCTGACGGGAAAAGGTCAGGGAGACGCCGCGCAACGTCTTCTAACAACCTCCAGATGTGAGATAACTGAGATTTAGTCAAACAACAAAAGATCTTCAAACAGGATGAGGAAGTGGCGGCGCTATCTTTGTTTTGCTATCATACCTTGTCAATGTCTCTGATGTTGACATTGACATAAGTGGCGCACAGTATCTTGATCCTCAGCGTTCCGTTGATAGTCCACAGAGACTTGGTGGCTGTTTCCCCGTTCATGTAGGGAGTCGCCGTGGATATTCTCCTCGCGTACGACGGCATGGCGAAGTTGTCCATGGGCAGTTGTGAGTACAGGCTGTCTTTTGCCATTAGCATCAAGTTGGGCATCCTTCCCAGCATAATACAGCTGCGCACGTACTGTTGAAGACAGACAGAGTGACATTCCCAAGTGGCTGTGACATTTTGATGCTGTACATGTCGCTTGACATTTTGAAACCATTCACAGCCTATGAACATGTAAATCACCAGAATTTACAACTTCATCTCAGCCGTACCTGAAACATTCAGGGCGCACACAGCGTGGTGTTTTTCTTCTTGAATAAGCACATTCTACAGGCCAAACACGTCTCGTAAATCTCATTTCATGTCATGAATGTCAAGCACATTTGCGTTGGATAATAATTTGATGTGAAGTGGATCTCTTGCCCTCTAAGTGCAATAACATCAGATGCAGCTAAGCTAAGATTAAATTAGATTACCTTGTACTGACTCAGAGGGTATTTCTCCAGTAAGTACTCATCGCAGCCGCAGACTTTGAGGATGTACTTTCCCTGATACTCTTGCACACACATCTTCAGCTGCTCCTGGGACAGCAGCATGCTCCGCGTCTTCTTACGGATGGCTTCAGCAATCACCTGCTCAGGAACATAATCGTGGTTGATCTTCAGGGTGTACTTCTGTTTGTCATTGCTGGGTGAAACGATGACCCAGATGACCACAATGATTTGACCTGAGGGAAAGGAAATAACAAATCAGATATGTTTCATGTAAGGTGCAATCAGTTAAAAAATACTGAACATTTTTTCAGAGTAAACTGTCCTACCTTTATCTAGCTTGTTATAGATGTGCCTGGGAAGTTCTGCTGAGGACTCTACATTGGGAGGGTAGACGTACAGAGCTCTACTGTGGGGTCCGTTACTGTCTCTGAGATCCACAGCTTCTTTACAAACGTTTAAAATGTTCCTTCTGAAGTCTTGCACTTCTGGGTCCTTTACCAAATCAAACTCGCATATCGGCATTCCAATAGCAAAACCTACAAGGAAACGGAAACGATTTCTAATGCCAGGTAAAACAATAACACACCGCAACACAATGCACAATGGCATGCATCTGCTGCACAATATTATGATAAGCCTTTTCAGTTTTGTCATAGTATTTATCAAAACAAAGCTGAAGAGGGGAAATACAATCAGCTGGTGTGGGTGATGACACTGTGAACAGCTGCTCCACTACATTAGTGAGGAGTTCAGGAAACATACCTATCTCTCTGTTGAGAATTTTCTCTTCCCTGTTGCCCACTGGCTCAATAACTTTGAGGAAGGCCTGGAAAAGCCTGAGATCGCACAACCTCCTGGTCTCATCGTAAAACTCCTCCCGCTCTGCCTCTTGGGTGACACTGACAAAGATGTAGGAGCTCTCCTCTTGCAGCAGATGGTAGAGAGGGTACTTCCTGGCTTCTTTGAACAGCTCGTGCTTGACTGTGATAAGTGTGGCCTCTCGGAGGCACTCCAATGTGAGAATCATGCCATTTGGCAGAAGGCAGTCCACTAGGATGCTGGGGGGCATCAAGTGCATCCCCCATAGTTCTCCTGAGGAGGGTCTGGGAGGCATGGTTGTGCTAGCAAATCCGCTCTATTCAGAGCCTGGTAATTACCAGATGATGTGAACCAACTGTGAGAAAGAAGAACACAGAATTACATAAGAACCCCTGACCTGTATACAATAATGCAGAACGCTGATGGTAAATATTTGACTACAGTGATGCTAATTATACACACTGCAAGAGTTATCCAAATCTAACACAAATCTAGTCCATACATAGCTGGGAAACGTCTACACAGTCTGTGGCTTCAGTGTTTTTCAGATGGTCGGATTGCAGGTAAACATGACGTGAAGTCACTTTCGGTTGACACTTTGACAGCAACACGTTTAATGACAACTCAGCTCTCACATTTTGACAATGTCCTGAGGATGTCACTGCGTTTCTTGACTCATGCAACTATCCCAGAGATTATAAACTCACCAGCAATCCAGAGACGGAAAACTGATGAAAAACAGGTTCACTTTGGTGAGTTACTGTTCAAATGATTGATGCTAACTCAAAGCGGGCAGCAGTGAACTGATGAACGTCCAGTGGTGTCGACTGAAAGAACTACAAAAACCATGTAAACAAACTTGTTAGCCGACACAAGCCACAAATGATTTAACCCAGGCTACCACGGCTGGGCTTGTAACCTCAGCTTGACAGCCGGTTCGACTAGTTTCGGTCGTGCTGCTGTTTGTGGATTAACTTTACCAAAGTGTTGTTTGTTAGCGAGCTAGCCGACCATGCTAGCCAAGTTCAGTAAGCAGATCAATGTCATTTGCAATATGAAAACCTCGCCTCATACATAAGCTAATTTTAGTTACTATAAGAAAAGGGTGCGACCCGACAGTTTGTCGTGTGTCTAACCAGGGCGGCTGTTTCGATTGACAGTAAAAGCGAACGAACCGCAAATAGACGAAAAACAAACATACAGCTACCTGGGTCAGTTAGCCAACCGGTTAGCCGCGAAGCTAGTCAGCCAGCACAACCATTAGCCGCGGCTAGCTGAGGAAATCCCATCCGTGCCCGCTCGGGAAGTCTCAAGCTGCGGTGCTAGCTGTAGCGTTAGTCCATCCAAAACAAGGGGCGCCGAGGGGGTCGGGGACTGCCTCGCTTTTGTGGAGAAAGGATGCCCCTAGCTCCCGGCGATGTTGTCAAGGCGCTGCTGCGGGGTGAGTCCGTGATACTTCATGTTGTTCTTCATCGTGCTGTCCCGAAAACAAACTGCTGCACTGTTTGGTAGCACGCTAGCTCCGCGCGGCTAGCCCGTTCCAGCGCTGCTAGCAGGCTCATCCTCTCGGAGCGCCCTCCCACACGGAGTGAGCGAGGAGAGGCAGCCTGTCATGAGACGGGACGAGGGAATTCACGGGAAGCCGCATGTTCGCTGCTCGCTCCGATGTGAGATGAGCTGCACACCAGAAGGGCACACGAGGGGAAAACAGTGCCAAAGCTGTTGTTGTGCTGCTGGAGTCAGTCATATGCGGAGCCCGAAGCTAATTCTTCCTGCAGCATGTGTGTGTGTGGATCCTCCAGGGGATCTGCACTTGTGAAAGATGTTTTATTTGTCATTGCATGTTGTTTTATCACTTCCACCCAGACTGTCACGTGTTAAATTGAGTATCTATTAAACTATTATGAGTTGGAGGCAATGAGCAAAAGAAATAAATGAATTATTGTCTGTGTGAGTTTAAACTTTGACCATCTTTGTAGAAGTCATATATTCAGGGGATGTGTTTTACCAACCACTCAGCATAATGTGTGTTTTTATACAGGTCAGAGGAAAAGAAAAAAACTACTTTCTGAGCCCCTTTTCTATCTTTAAAATAACCCAAGAAATGTAATAAGCTTGTGCCTTCCTGGTTCACAAACATCCTGAGGAGGGGATCCTTTTATTACAGGTACCGGCCGCGGTGTGGAGAACCGGTGCCACCACGATGAGAAAATTAAATTGCTGTTTTTTATCTGGGAGATAGCCTCGAGGTTAGTTGTTTAGTTAAACAGGGAATCTGCGACCCCTGGAACCTGGAATCTCATTTTAACATCTGGTCGTTGATTAAGCCCCTTAAAGCTCATCTCATCCAAATTACACGTTTAGAAGTTTTTATTACCATGAAAGTAATCCAATTATGTCTTAAAATGGATTAGAAGATTTATAAAATCCCTGCCTCTCTCGCCACCAAACCTATTGGGTGCAGCTGGAGCACACCAGCTCACTACAAACACTGTATGGTGCAGTTTGTATAATGGGAATATTTCAGCTGTCCAAACCAGAAACTGGATTGGTTGTTTAGATTTGTTACGTGTGAAGCCCTGGAAGTCACACGGCAGTATTAAGGTGGAAATACTCTGGTATTTTGCTCATGATATGTATTCCAGCATTTAAAAAACATAATATGGACATGTTAACAAGGTCAAACTTAACATAAAATTATAATAATAATTCACCAGAAGGAGTCTTTAAGCTTTGGTAGCACAAGCCAAGTTTTTTCTTTTTTCTTTTCTGTAAATCTGTATTATAAATAGTGATGCACGATATTAAAATTTCTGGCCGACATCGATATTAAGATTTCTGATATCACCGATAACCGATATTACCAATGTCGATTTTCAAGGCCCATTTAAGTAAAAACATCTGTGAAATTGTGGCAATATCAAACGTAGAGACAAAGGCGCTAATGTTAGACAATCATCGGCTAAATGTGTTCATTGGACCGATACCGATATATGGGAAAAAACTCTAATATCGGCCGATACCGATGTGGTCGCCGATATATCGTGCATCCCTAATTATAAGTATTTTAAATTTTAGGACGATATGTGTTAATTGAGTTAAATTTCCATATCAAATATGACAGACAAATAAAAATAAAAACATGGCAGGTGTTACGGGGGTTTTCCTGGCTGTGGACGGGTCTTCGGGATGTGATCACACCTAACAGTAAGCATGACCAGTCTATGTACAGTAAAGGCAATGAGTCAGTGTTAATCTATGTGACAGATGCCTCTTCCTGTTATTCCTGACTGTCGTACAAACAAAATATATAGCATGCTTGAGTAAATGAAAGCTAAATTAACCCATCTGGTTAAAAGATATTTAATTTTTTTCAATCCTCATTCCCTATCATCACTGGTGCTGGAGGTTTCCCTTTAAAACAAACCTCTTTAGGTCAGCTTTCCTCTAAGCAGGGATTCACTCAAGACATTTTACTATGAAAGACCTCCACATTTTATTTGGTCGCTGGTGCAAAAATACAAACTTAAAATAGTTTCAGGAAACAATCACATGTGATCATCAGATTCCACCAAATTTCCCATGGCTCAACATTATCGGCCACATGCAGGATATTTTAGCGCAGACAGCTGTGTTTTCCTCTGTCAGGCTAAGTATAGGGCGGTATTGTCATGTGTGTCGTATGTGACATGGAGAGCACATGCTCATAACAGGCTGTTCCATGTTTAAGTGTGACAAATGCATGTGATCAAAGTCCCCTTTAAAGTTTTCACAATGCTCATAACACCATGCAGAAGAAAAAAACAACACAGTCGTAGGTAGCAGGCAGCGACTGACGGTTTCCGTCTCGGAACATTCAGTTCGCTCTTATAAACAGTCACATCCGGAGGGAAAGTCAGCTGCTCCAAATGTCTCAGCCGAGGAGGAAAGTTTGCGAGAGGTCACGGGAAGGTCGCCTGGTTAAAAACAATCCCGTCCCGTGTCACGTGCCCGTCGCCGACATGTGTCCGCGGCGGCTGCTTCACCTATTAATCTTCCCTATTTCCTCGCACAGCCTGGAGAGGTACTGCGTGAGCTTCACCATCACGATGATGAGGGCGCCTCCCGTGAGCATGCAGGAGGGCCAGAGCAGCGAGTGGACCAGGACGCTGTTGTCGTAGAGCCGGGTCAGCAGGACCGTCTCCTGCTGCTCGCTGGGGTCGTAGTAACACGGCACCTGCTGGTTCGCCTTCAGACGCTCGGAAATGTTCATGATAATGGTGTGCATGGCCATGCTGTCCTTCTGGCACCGGGGCACGTAGAGGCACTGCAAGGACAAGAGGTGAAGGACGCCGAGATTACCAAGAGGACAGTCGCGTTCTGTCACGATTTCATTTCAACCCTGAACAATTTGTGACCCGTGAGTAGAGTAAAGTCTATCAGCAGGCCGCCATCTGACAGCCGGTGTCAACATTTGAATTGGTTCAGTAATTCCCAGTATTTTCCCTCTGGCACGGTACTCACTTCAGAGCTGGCGTCCTGGGTCTCTTCATTGTGAGATAAACGGCTGACATGGCCCGTGTTATTGACGCTCACATAGACCTGCAGACAGGGGTATTTGGACACCCTCCAGCAGTCTGACCCGCAGTTGTAGGAGCAGTTCATGTCTGCTGTGACCGTGGAGTTGAGAACGACACACACCCCCTCCTCCGTCCACACGCTGCGTGGAGATTTAGATGAAGATCCAATTTAATGCAAATAACACTTTTTTTTTTTTTTTTAAAGCAGAAAACATTTCGGGGGATCTCGTGGCATTATATCAGCTCTGTTTGGGGTATAATTTGTTCCTGAAAATCTGCTCTCATAAAGTATTCATTTTTGCAATTTTCAGGTTGAGAGAGCAGTGAAACAGTTTGTCAACAAGCACATCTGATGAATAAAACATGGCAGAAATATCAGAGTTAACCCCTGAGAGGACGATTCCAACAGCAGCAGCAGCAGCAGGCCTCGTACCTGTCAGCGTAGGAGCGTAGCACGGTGATGCCCAGGACGAAATACATCATGACCGACGACAGGATCATTCCCAGTCCCAGCAGGATGGCCCGATCTTCTCCGGCCTGCAGCGCCGTCACCGTCTTCTTCTTGTCCAATATGTCTACCTCACGAAATTTCTGGTAAATCGACCTGATGATGGGAAATTATTTGCAAACTTGAAAGCGTTTCTCCCATTTGCCTCGCTGCGTTTTAACTCTGCACTATTTTGGGCCTGAAAATGATATAAATCTGTTACCTCCTTTCACTTCCTCCCCCTGATCCTCCTGAGCTTTTGGCCCCCGCCACGAAGAACATCTTTCCTGATGATCCTCGCCCTCCCTTGCTCGCCGAAGTGGAACGGAAAGACTGTCGGAGAGACCTGAGAAAAATTACAGCCGGTTTTATGTTGCAATGAATTGAACGTTCACTACCAGGGTCATAAACATAACACAAACCCCAAGTCACCGGTTACAAAGCAAAATTTGTACGTGGAGACAAATCATACTTCCTACCTCTGGTGCATATTTGCTGTCAGACACCCTATTTCTTGTAAATATGTCCGTTTTTTAACGGATTAATGTTTCTTCTAAAACCCTGCGAGTGGCGGTGCCTCATTATGACGAGCTGGGACAGGATGCGTCCCTGATATAGTGGACCCCACCAGGTAAACATCTCATTTTCAACACAAAGGAACGCCACAAAGGCCGAACAGGATGACAGATAGCTACGGATGAAAGGCGTTAATGCTGATGATGCGCTCGTGAAAACCCATACCTGCTGTATCCTGAACACTTGTGCTGTCAACACAAAGTCATTGGCTCCTCTCTTGGCACGACAACAACACCTTGCATGTGCCTCGTCTCGCTCTCTGCAGGTCCAGCCATCTGTAGAAAACAGAACGTTCAGAGCTCCACATGCAGCTTTTGGAGCCGTAAATGAGATTAGCTTTGATTCGAATGCAGACGGACGAGGAGCTGAGACATGATGAGTTATTAGTGGTGGGTCAGCCAAGGGCTGCTCATGGGGCAGCAGTGGATGCACTCTGGGAATTGACATTTACTCAAGAAGACCGTTTAGAACAAATGCCTTTCTGTGGGCCAGGTTTTGAGGCAATTTGCTCGTATCGAAGCGGTAATGTCGCTGCTTTCAATTCAAACTCAAACATCCGTCCCATTGTGAGGCAAAATTTAATTAGAAATACTGATCAATAAAATCAAAGCATATTGTTTATTTACACGCCCTTCAGAATGGGTTTTTCTGGAACATGTGAGCAGAATAAGCAGGCTTGCTTTCCTTTTTGTGGAGGATAACAACATTGCCAGAGTGCTTGGAGCAGGATAGTTAGAAAACAAGCCAACAAGTTCCTCTTAGATGAGTAATTTCCTCATTGTATCACATTCCCAGCTGCTTAGGGGAAATGTTGCTCAGAGGCAACCCCAGTGTGACACAAGACATCTGAAGGAAACCATAAATGTTATCTACAAATATGCTTTCACATAAATGTGCATGCATGCCCACAACAAAGCCTCTCACTCACATGAATTTTATGCTCTGTCTCACTACTTTCCAGCTTTTCCCCTTCGTTAAAGCACACTGACCATTGCCTCTTGGGGGCCTCAAGTTCCACACATAACTGTATTGATTTCAGCTAAACACGGACACCCACACACACTTCCAGAAAGACTGCCTCACTCCTTGTATCCACTTCACAGTCAACAAAAGTTTTGAAAGGGTCTGAGGGCTGTAAATGTGTTGGTAGCCGTACGTCATACCCCACGCAGGCTGGATTTACTGTGGCAGCCCAATAACTTATAAGGAATGGACCGTGACAGTCCTTAATGATATATGGAGCAGACGGCCTCTCTCAGTCTCTGAGCCTGACCTTGCAGGGCAGACTGAGCTCCAAATGACAGAAACAACCTGAAATATTAACACAATATGTTCACATTTGCCAGATAAACTCCCTTTTTGAATCATATTTTATACTTTGTTCACATGAGATCATAAAAAAGTGGATGCTGATAGCAGTCAATTTCAAGAGACCCCTAAAAATCCAAAGATATTGACATAAAATGGTGAAAACCGAGCTGAAATAGCATCGTAGTCAGGTGAAAAGTGGATCCGAATGACAGTCACCAACTTGAAAATTAGATTTTGAATATATTTGTGTCCGTCCTCATATCTGTGCTTATTTAAAAAGCTCCCGAGCCTGCAGTGTCACCACATGAAGCACTGCAGGGTGACAGTCTTTGTGTGTTTGAAGAGATGCTCCAACGCCTGGCACAAGTGTGGAACTGCTTACAACAGCAGGAACGTATTGTTCAGCCTTTCCTGTTATCAGTTTAATGAATATCCTGAGCCAGAGGCAGATAGGATCAGCCAACCTCCCTGTATGTTCTTTATGGGTGTGTCCTTAGTTCATATTTCTTCCAGCTGCCTCTCTCCAATCTTGTGCGACTGGAAGCGGGACTGAATGAGTGACAGTAAACCAAAACGGCATGTGATAGAGTACATAATTGTGGAGGAGGTGTTATCACATACATGGCAGGATTACTGAATAGGCCCATTGCGTGTTGCCCCTGGGGCCGAGGGACACCGATAACAATTTTTCATCTCTAGTGTTAACTACTGAAGTTCAATTGCGATTTGTCAAACTGCAACAGCACCTGCAGAATCCTAATGCAGTCAAAATGACCAAAAAGACATTCAAAGTGAGATTCAAAAGACAAAAAAGAGACAGAAATCCAATAAAGAGACGCAGCTACAAAGAGACAAAACACCTACAAAGAGATGCTAAATTACAAAGAGATGCAAAACACTGACAAAGAGATGCAAAGCAAGTACAGAGGCGCAAAATAACACGACACAGACATTTCCATATTCAGAATTACCATAAAGAGACACAAAGTCACACAGGAGAGTGTCAACAAAGAGTGTACAAAGAGACACAAAATGACCAAAAAAGAGATGCAAAATTACAATAAAGAGATGGAAAACAACTACAATAAACACAAAACCACAACAAAGACACACTAAACAACGACAATAAAGACAAAACAACTATAAAGAAACACAAAGTCACACAGGGAAGTGTCAACAAACAAAATATGTACAAAGAGACACAAAATGACCACCAAAGAGATGCAAAATTACAATAAAGAGATGGAAAATAACTACAATGAACACAAAACCACCACAAAGAGACAAAAAACATCTACAAAGAGACACTAAACAACTACAATTAACACAAAACAACCACAAATAGACACTAAACAACTACACTAAAGACAAAACAACCACAAAGAGACACAAAACTACTGCAAAGAGACAAAGAATTACCATAAAGCGAAACAAAACAACCACAAAGAGACACACAAAAACTACAGAGACTCAACACCCCTGTAAACAGAAGCAAACTCCCCACAAAGTACTACAAAAATAAGGCAACGAGGCAATAAAAACTAGAATAATTCACAAAGAAAGACAGAAGAACATGATCTTAAAGACGTGCAAGATGACATAAAACAGCTACAAAGTGATGCAGACAGAAAAAGACAACAAAGCTACACGACAACACAAAAAGAAAGAATCGCAAAACACAAAAAGGCGCACAAAAAAACAGACACATCAGTGGTTTTGTGTGTCTTCCTACATATGCAGGTTGGTGCCGCGGGACCCATTGTCTCATAAAGCAGCCATTATCTTTTATACCTCCTAAATTTGTGACTTTCTTTAGACTCTATTGAGCTCATATTGCATGCACGCCATAAAAGTCAAACAACGCTGTGTGTAACGGATACAGAATAGTCTGGGGGCTCACTTTTAATCTTTTGCTTTAGCAGTTTACTGTCTCTGTAACGGCGCTGAGGAATTCAAAGTCTGGCCTCCCATCAGCACTGATCAAGTATGTCTCGGGATGTATTTTTTGCCTCGTCCTTCCAGCGATTATTGCTTCCCCACCACGTGTCCCTCGCGCTGCTGCCTTAAAAATGTCACATGCTGTGCTGCACGGCTCCCCACAGAGGCATAACAAAGCAGTAAACACTTACCTGAGGTGCACAGACTGACAATTGAATAATGTGAACGGCGCGCCTCCAGCACGGTCGTACGCCATGCTGAAATTACTGCATTGGAAATAACGTCAAAACCAAATCATCCATCTGTAATTGTATTAGGTGTGTTTTACTGTGTTCCTCAAAGTGAGTAAATAACAGCATGTGCCTTATTATCCAATTAGAAGTCATCACGGCTCCCAAGAAGTATGTTCTGAGTCGTCTTTTTTCTGCAGGTCACTTGTAAAATCTGCACTGAGGATGAGAAATTAATATCACATGTATGAAACCTGAAAACTCCTGTGTGTTCCCGGCTTTCTGGCTCATTTTTAAGCACATGCTCTCTGTTATCTACGATGTTATCCAGTGTTTCTCTCCAGCACCTGCGATAATCCCTTTCTTTTCACAGTCAAATTGCACTAATCCCCAGCTTTTGCATGTGCCTGGTGTGTATGTTGATTTGGAATAGCAGTACAATCAGTGAGGTCCTACCTCTTGTCGAGGGGCCGTTATGATAATCCAGACTTTGGTTTACAACTGTCAGCGGTGGCTCTCCATCGTGGTCTGGGCTCCGAGGGACGGCAGCTGGCTACCTCTTATTTAAACGCCAGTGAACAGGATTCCTGCCATACCTGGGTGAGTAATATGAGTTCCCTATACAATGCCTTCATGCTTAAAATGAGCTGGTCCAGCACAATGCCTTCAGCACTGTACCTCTGAATAACTTGGCCGGGCTTGTTGCTATGTTTGTTGCTGCACATGTACAGAGGAATTTGGGAGCAGTTATTTCAAACGCCTCTGCCTGTTGCATGTCACAAATGTACAGTATGTATAGGCAACCTGACAGGCCGACACTGTGGCACAAAGAAGAGACTCGTGGCTCGATGTGGCCACAAGGTGTCTCTGCAGCCTCAGAAACTGGAGACGGATCAATTTTATTTTTTTTTTGGGAGGGGGTTTCCACGTGATTGACTGATTACCAGTAAGGGATGGAAGGCCTTTAAATTTGAGGGATTTTATTTTGGTAGAAATGGGTGCAGATGTGTGATATTTTATGGGAATCTATGTTATTATGTGTGGAAAAAGGTCAGCTTTGAAATGGCATAAGGCCACGGCAGACAACCACGAGGCTCCTGGTTTTATTTCAGCTTCTCTTGATGTGTCACATACGCTTCTCCCTTCACCCTTTATCTTTCTCTGTGTTGTTTTATCTGACAAAGACGAGAAAACCTTGTGTAGGTGTTCCACATTCTAATTTCTCCAGTTTGAGTCAGCAAAAAGGCAGGTGGAATCATTCTGCGTGACCTTTATTGTCTCGGGTGCTATTTTCAAAAGCATTAGAGAGTAAATTACAGTTGTATTTTTTGTACATTAAAGGTCGTACTTATAGTGGTGTAGTATTTGACCTCTGTGCAAATGTTTTTTCTTTTGAAGATCGCAGCATAATTTAATCTGCAGAGGTTTCCCATCTTATTTCTAAACACGATTATTACTCTACAACCTCCCCGTGTGCAGTCATTTCCTCAACAGCCTGAACAGATGGGGTATTTTTCCTCTCTGACCCCGGCTGATGAGCCATCTTGGCTGCAGTCTTTCCTCATCCCCGCTCGGTGCGTGTGATTATGAATGTCTGTCGCAGCATCAGATTAGATACTGTTAGGAGTCGCTGCGCTCCACTCCACTCTCGCCGCCTCCTCCGAGCTCCATTCAGCCGATGACCAGCTCGTACACACAAGACAATCCCCCTCCGGAGAACTCCAGAGCTGTTTTCTCCTTTAATTACACCCCGGCCCTGGATTTAGCCTTGAAAAAAAAACAAAAACAGCATTCCCTTTTGCATACAGTAAGACAGCAGGAAGACATTTGCACAAATATAGCAGCATGAAAACACTCAAGGGCAGATGGAAAGGCATTTGTATTTATTTGAGGTTAAGCCTAAACATAGCTACAGAGTGCAAACTGTCTTCAAGTACCACATTTGGAGGTGAAACAACACAGTTACGGGGGGGATGAAAGGCGATTCTGCCTCTTTGTTTCTCGGGATCTAAAAATAGCTCTTGCTGAGCAGGCAGTGAAGCTGAGCTGCAGTCTCTTGCTCCTTTTTCCTCCTTTTTTTTTTTTTTTTACCCCCACTTTCTCACGCACAATGCATCATGCTAATGATGCATGAGAGGTGACGCGTGGCTCGAATGTGGTCGAGTTGCTGTATTTAAACTGCTGTTATCATGGAACACCTTGCGCACGGGGAGCGGTGTTAGTGTCTGTGTGTCACCTGTGCATCCCGAATGTCAAACTGAGCCTCGATTATACACATTTACACCGACTGGTTTGCACATGAGCGACAAGGGATCGAGGCAGATACTACAGATCTTAAGGGGTTGGCAAGAAGAAGAAAAAAAAGAGCTGCTGTTATCAAGTTATTACTTGTGGCTTTGATGAAGATGAAAACCTCAGATTGCTTGTCCTTATCTCAAAAATAGCCACCAATCTCCTGTTCATTTTCTTTCGTCTCCATACACAAACACAGACACATGCACACAAATGAAAAAGGCAATACTGCTGTTGCTAAGGCAGTTGATAAAGCCTGTTCTTTCTTGTTATTGTCCTTCAGATTTGTTCCCCGCCCCCACACAGATATCACACTGCTGTACTCCTTCTAGTCTCACGTTTATGGAGGGAAACAATGCTAAGCACATTTTACGGAGACCCACTGTACTGTACAGACACAAACAGACCTGCTGGTGTGTGGATGTACGCAGACATGTCTTATGCTCATGTACTGTATACGGTGCATGTACAGTAGATTAAAAAAAAATGGATGAGTAGGATTTACACTCACAGAGAAGAGGTGAGTCAATTCACAATATTTGCCTTTAGAGTGAATCATATATTGCGTAAAGCCTGGCATCGGAGATGAGGAATTTGCCTCACATTTCTGCACTGGCAGCCAAAACACCCGCACACAGTGGGTGTGATGGAGCACATATTTCTGTTTCTCCTGGCTGGAGGAGAAAGAGAGTGAGAGGCAGAATGTGGGAAATCACTCATAAATTAACTAATGGAGACAAACAGCACTCATTCTTGCAGAATTTTGCACACAGTTGTGTCCAAATCTAACCCCAATCCATGTTTGTTTTGTTTTCTTTTTACATCAGGGCCCTTCCTGTTAGAATCCTCTCAGCTTTTCACTGAGTAAATAAATTACAAAGCACTCTAACATCCCATTGCCCTGATGGTGAATTCACAGCACGAGATATTAGACAGGAAGGTCTGGTGGACAAGTTGCAAGGATGATGACAAAGAGCCAGATGAGCACTGAGATTATTGAGTGGGAGGATCAAACAGCTCAGAGGCTGGGAAGTAGCAGAGGACTGCAGTAACATACATTATCTGCTACAGACAAATTCATCACCCAAGCACACTAGCTAATCAGATAGGCTATACAAATAAACGCTGCTTTAACACTTTTTCCATCTGATTGCATGCAAATGTTAAACCTCTGCTGTATTATCAGCACTGATTTGGTTATAGATGCCGTGGCAGCTTTGGCAGAGCTCACTGAGGATGCGATAAGTGATCAGCTGCATATATAATCACACACATCATTTTGATGTATTTGTGAGTATGCACAGAGTGTGAGAAGTAAAGAAGGGATGCTGCATCTGTGTTCAAATCAGACATCATTATTCGTGGTAACAGGAAAAGACAGCGTAACAGAAGCTGTGCTGCACAGTTTCTGCTGTTGTACAAGTTTTTTAATGGCCCTCAATTCAGCATTTCACGATATGTCATCATCTCACACAAGAAAAGGCCTAAGCAGTGCAGCTACTTAAATGGGGACATCCACTAATCACAGAGGATACATGCATTACACTGAACTCTGAAGGTCGACTTCTGTTGGAGTGGATCCTTATCAGAGTACAGTGTGAACATCCTAGCGTTTTTAAAAATATATATTTTAAGGAGCGGTGGGGAAATTTGTATGATTATGGATTATGTATGCAGCTAGAAAAAAGCACCCTGTGTAAAACACAGATTGCAATGATGATGTAAGCTTGTTGTTGACTTTCCCAGTCTGAATGACTGAGCAGAGCAGAGGGGGTGGGGTGTCATTAATCCACGGCTAGTGGTGACTCGCCACGCGCAAATGGGGTGTAGTGGGGGATGGGCGAGGACACTGTTATGACTGGTGCTTGGCTGCGGGACAAACTTCCAGAGGCCTCGTTTTTTTTTTCTTCTCCCCCCTCGTTTCCATCTCATCGGTCGGTTTCAACGAGGAAATGCGGCTTCATCTCGCCGTGAACGTGTCAAACGGACCAGGAGCGAATCCATAACCAGCGCTTGGAGGACTGCTTTCAGCCTTTGCTAAACACGAGCTGGTGTTTGGTGGCTTTTTTTGAAAATAGGTTAGTTACCGACACAGCGTTATGTTCCACAGGCAATTCTGTCGAAATTAGAAATTGTCTTTTATTCTCATTTAAGTTGCCCACGGTGCCGTACACGGCAGAGGACACGGTGCGTGGACGGTCCACTCCCGTTGTCACGGGTTAATCTTTATATTGAGCTTTAGTGAGTGGCGCTTTGAAATAACAGTAGTTACAGGCAGCTCATTTGCGCATGCCGGGTCACTCCACTGTGTCTAATGTCTGAAGCCGTTGCTGGCTTCTTACCGCCTGGCTTTAGCTTTAATATTATAACCTTACGATAGTTAATGTACGCGCGAAAACTATCAGCCGTGCAATCGCTTAAAGAGATAACATGGTCTGACGTGAACACAAGCGCTGTGGAAGATCTCGTCAATTGAAAGGTTTTATCCAAGTAGGTACGAGATTGTAGCTACACTGTCATTAGCATAGCATGCTAGGCTTAGCCAGCTAGCGTGCTAGCTAGCTTGTTGGCAGCTTGTTCGAGTGGTAGCGGGCTGACGACCTTACGGTACTCGTCACAAATGAAGTTTGAAGCAAACTAACTTGACATTGTTGTACTAAATTGCTATGCAAAAACAATAATAGCAACGCCAGTGTATATAATGTAAAATGTTGGTTTGGTTGCTAATTGTTGGTGAGCTGTATCAAATTAACTGAACTGTAGTCCGCCTTGCCCGACTGGCATGTGTGGTGACGGGTACGGCCGCCGCCAAGGCAAAACTAATGTTAACTCGCAGGTTAGCCGCTGAGCTAACGCTACTCGGCTAATGGCAGTGCAAACCGGACGCCGCGTTATAATGTTTTTTTTTTGTTTTTTTTTAAATAATAAACTACTAATTATATTAGTTAGCGGAGTATAAATAAGGAAAAATAAAAGTGATGAGTGTTTATTTGGCAATTTATGTGAAATCTAATTGCCGATAACGCCCGTTCCCGTTTCCCACCGCTCATCCACTCAGTGACCCGTGACATGTGGGCAATTGTCAGTCTGACACCGCAGCAGTAAAGACTTGAATTACTGTTAAATACGGTGCAGCGATACCTTCCTGCAATCCACTTGCAGGGGACGAGCCATTTTATTCGAGCTTGTTTTAATACAGTAAAAATGCAGTATAAGTGACTTTAAACTGGGGCTGGTGTCTACCCGCTTTAAACAACGTGTAGGTGAACGCAGAAGTTTGTTCAGCCCATTCACTCTCCACTGTGTGTGTGTGTGTGTGTGTGTGTGTGTGTGTGGGCTGGGCAGTGTGTGTTTCCGCAAGTAGCTGGCCGCGCTATCTTGCTTATTTAGCTGCAGGCAGATTAGCATGGTGACATAACTTGCATGTGTTTAACTTGCACGGCATCAATCAGACGTAAGAAGGCACATAGACGGCGTGTCCTCTGAAATGGCGACAAAACCAGATCTGATTTGCTCAGCTGAATATAAAACATCACAGTGTAGGTTTCACTCAGCAATCCAGCACCATTAGTAAGAGATTGACTGTTATTTTAGGCGGCAAATGTCTAAAATGTAGCTTTAAAATTTAAAAAAAAAAAAACACAACTGGGACAATTCTGATTTATTGTGTTTTAATTGCAATCATTCAAGGATATTCAAGCCATGCGTGGCATAAATATAACCACTGGTTGTTTTGGCTTTTTACATTGCTGACCCAGTTTCTCTCATTGTTTGGTGACACGCCCCTTCGTTCAGAGCACTTTCCTCTGGCTGCCTTTTCACCCAGTCGCTGACACGCTGCTGCTAAAATGTCTCTTCTAATTACTGTAATTTGTCACGGCACTGATACGGAGACACTGTCCTGTGTGGATGTTTGGCAGGGCCTGTGTGGCTCTTGTGCTGCGTTGCTGCTACACATGCTAAAGGTGTTAGTTAGGCGTTTCTTGGAAAGTTGGAACAGATCTTTCCACTGCAGCATATGATGGGAGAGGTGATCTGAAGTATTAAACAAAAGAGTATACAAAAAAGCTGCAGCTTTTGAATGGAATGAATGATTATTATTTATGTTTGTAATATGACTGATAAGAATACGGCTATGTGTAGATGAGAGAGATAACATTTTGAGTGCAAGTGTTTACACACTGGAGAAACGATGCAATCTGTATAATTTTTCTAATGTAAATGTGTATTTTCTTTCTCCTTCTTCAGGGCTGAGAGTTCTTGCTGAGGACACCAGAGCCATGATGCACCTCTAAAGATATCTTGATCACATGGGTAGTGTATCTCTCTCTCTTTTTTTATTGTCATGTTTTAATTTCTTTTACATGTCTTCACTCTTGAGCTGCTCTGTGGAAGAGCACATCACTATTATGAAGTCTCAGGCGTCACACAGAGAAGATGATTTAGTTTTGAATGGTGCACAAGAAGCCCAAAGTTATTTAGACAAGAGGATGGCTTGAATCAGGAATGTCCCCAAAAAGTGCAGGATCGTACATAACATGTTTAATATGTCCTGGAAAAAATCATGCTTCTTCAAACACCTGAAGGGAGAGCTGTCTTGAGGTGTTCATAAGTCTTAAGTAGTGGTCGAGGGATTCAAAAATGTTAAGTTATTTACATTTTTAGTCGTATTTTTCAGTAATCTTGTTTGTGTTTGCCAAGGAAAGCTGGCAACACTATGGCAACATGGTACTTACAGTCAAAATCCTATTCATCTCACCAAATAACATGTTTGAAGATCATTTTAACTTGTACACATTTGAAGAATAAACGTGTTATGTCATCAATATTCATTTGAGGAGTAGAATTAGGTGATTCCTCGGAGGTTTCCAGTTGGTGTTTGTGTTTTCTTTGACAGAAATTCTACATTTGTAGAAGTTATGTAACAAAGGACACTCCTAACTGCATTTTTATGAGAAAAATAGGCTTTGACGAGAGTTTTTCGTGACAAAAAAGGCGTTATGTATGAACACAGCCTACGTTGTTAAGCTTCCAGGCCCAGTAGATACTCAGCTACCGACGCTGGATAATGTATGCCAGTACTCTGATATCTGTTAGGGCTGATCAATAAAGCTGAAAGTCTATCGCAGTAAAATGTTTTATTTTAATAGACATGTTAAATGGCCTGTTTTTAATAAAGACCAGGAGATAAATGTTTACTTTGAATTTAATCCTTTTAGCGTGTTGCTGTTATCACAACAATGGAAGACACACACACACTTATAAAAATGTAAACGAGGTACACAAAATGAAAAAGGACAACAGAAAACTCTCATCCTGATACACATCAAATACAGTCGGCAAGGAAACCCTGGGGTAGTGGGGGACCAGGGCGAGGCTGTCACCCTTTGAGATCAAGGTTATGATTGGCTGGCCTGGACTGGGTACCATCGGGGGGAGGCTCTGCTCCGACCTCTGTGTGCACCCTGACATCAAGTCCGTCAGGCCGTTACCACTCAGGTGGTGTGAGGCTCCAGGGTCGTGGGTGTTCTTAGACCCTGGAGCCTGTCCTGTAAGGTGCATCCAGCAGGGGAGGTCTGTGGGTGTGGACGAAGGTGAGGAGAGGCTCAGGGGGCGGTGGACTAGTGTGCCTTGAGAGACCTGGATGGCAGCCGCAGGGAGAGTGACTGGAGGCAAAGGGCCTCCATTATTATGGGATATAAGTAGCTGTTTATGAGCCAGAGAGGCAGCATGCTAGGGGTTTGTTTATGGAAGTGATCTTTATGTCTTTGTGATGTGGTTTTATGGCAGTTTGCATCTAATGCATTGATCAAGTGTTTATTGCTCGTTCGCTCTGCTGTCGTTTTATCACCTTAATATCTGTGTTGTTTAATTGTGAAATAGGCTACAGTCGTTAAATCGTCTATTTGCTCTTGCTGTCATCCACAAGAAATACTCCCCGAAAGAAAAGTTTGTATTTAATTTACTCCTTTTTTTGTTTAAGCTTACCTTATTGACAGTTTGTTTGTCTGAGTTTGTGGTTGTAAATACTATAAATACGGTCTATCGCTGACAATGCAGAGAGATTTTCCAGTCAGCTGTTTGATCACGCACCAGTTACACAGATGTTTGTCCAAACTCAGATTGCTGATTTGCAGGCTGTCCGTGTTGCCAGCTTACCTTTCCTTCTGAGACCAGTCCACCTCTCCTCTCAGAGAACCCTCACTGGTGTTTTTACATTCAGTATGATATGTTGCCCAAATGTCTTTTTACGGTCATTGGGCTTAAGCTGCTCCGCAGAAACACTTGGGCGCTGCGCCTAAGCCTTTTTATGGCGGGGAAAACCCTGTGAAGTAACCCATTTGCAGCTTTAATCAGTTGAAGTGTGCACTTGAATGTAAATGTTATGAAAAATCCTGCAGACAGCATGCCTTGTTGCTTCGAGAATGAGCTGAGGTTGATTGTGCAACTCCGGTTTCGTGGAGTGTGCCACTGGTTGAATACGCTGGAATTTCTATCATGGGTCACTGAAACCATCACGTCTAACTGGTGTTAATGGTTTTTAATTGCATGTTGTATTTATGTAAGAATATACTGATAAATCGCTCCTTGTAAAAAACATTTGTGCTCGCGGGGAGTCTTTGGCAGGCTGTTTTGTTTGTACAGTTGACTCACTTGTTGTCTTTCACACCTGTGTAAACTATTAAGGAACATTTGGTGGGTGGTCATTGTAAAACCCATCAGTGTGATGAGGGTGAGTGAGGCTTAAAGGTTTTTAATCTCAAAAGTCCAGTATTAAATTCTGCTCAGCCCCGTTCTCAATCACACACTGAATTTGATACCTAAACATCGCTAATAATCCAAAGCTCGACATTAGTGCTGGTTAGCAAGAAATTAGCACACTCTGAGCCACTTTCCAGATGTGGATTAAGCCTCATCCTAAACTATAAAGAACATTTCAATGAAAATCTCAGTTGAAAGAAGCCAGAGCCTTTGGAAATAATTTCAAGCTAAATTAAAACCGCAGGCGGCGATGGACGGGTCCTCGCTGTGCGATTGTCGGCCTTCACACACATCAGGGTTTGGCAGAAACACGCTCCGGGCGGGACTCTGATCTGACATGTTGAGTTTGGGCCAGATCGGAGCACGTGCAGCCTAGTTATACGCCAGTTCCTGTTTAATGGCGAGCGGAGGCGGCGTGTGTGCCGTGGCGTGCTGACAATGGTTTGGACTCAGTGACACAGCACGTCCCGTTTCATGGCGTTTTATGGTGGTGTCCGTTTCTAAAATGGCGGACTTCATGTTGGGTTTAGGGCTTGGCGCTGATTGACTTTTTTGTGCGTTCCTAGCTGCTACACATGTGTACCGATTTTCGTAGCTCTGAGTCAAACGTAGCCCCGAGGGGACTCTGTTGAAATATTGTAGGGGGTGCAGTTGAGCCGTGTTGCATTTTAGAGCTTGGCACTCGTCAAGTTTTTTGTTCGTCCTGCCCTGCTCTATATGCCTACCACATTTCGTAGCTCTAGGTCAAACGTGCTTCTGACAGGACTCCGTTGAAATTTTCAAGGGGGCGCTGTGGAGCCATTTTGGCAGTGACATGTCCAAGTACTGTAAAATATCGAATTTTTTTCACCAGTTCTGGTGTGTGTGTGGCGACTTTGGTGAGTTTTGGGGGATGTTTAGACCCTCAAAAATGCATTTCTTTATGGTGTATAATAATAATAATCACAAGGGTTTGAACAGGGTCCTTCCACTGGTGTTCTCGGACCCTAATTAGAAACACAACAAAGATGGATGTCGGTTAAAAACTGCAGACTCACGCTGCGTGAGACCTACATTGGCGCAGTGGAAATGCAGCGTGGACTTGCGGTAACGTTAGATGAAGTGTCAACGAGTTTAACGTTACAAATTCTATCTCCATTTGAGCTGCTTGATTCAGTTTTAGTGTAACCGCTCAAGATCTGCAGGATTTACGACTCAACTATTAAGCTGATGAACATTAAAATTTGATCACATGAAGTTGAAAGTTAGCTGAGAGGCTCTGGCAGCCACTCGCTCGGCCCGATTTCCACGCAGCTAATTAGTCTGTCGAATGCTTTCTGAACAAATCTCCACCTGATAGTGTTGTATGATATCATTCAGTCAGGTGAGGATGCTTCGTTTTCATGTGCAGCTCCCTCGTCTGAGCTAGCAGCTGGATCCCTCCCACGAGAAAAGAAACGCCGCTTGTTTTAAACCTTAATGATGTAAATAGCAAATTGTCAGCGCTTCTGACTAAGCACCGATGTTTAAAAACAACATTTGTGTATCGGACATGGAGCCAGCCAGATGAGATGAGCGACTTATTCTTGTAACTGAGCCCTGACCCCGTTCACTGCTCCTGCGTCACTTGCATGGTGATGACATTTTGTCGGCACCCTTTGAAAGCCGGGCTCGTGTCAGATAAGCAAGAGTGCTAAATCAACAGGCTTCCAGTGTGCCTTGAGCATACTGAACCTTGAACAAAATGGAAAGCGGAGAACATGAGTACGGTTGCGGTGCCGTGGGGCAGCTCCTGTTTTGTGTTTCGGGTAGAAATGTTGGCATCTGTTACTGTTGGTTGTATCTTTAACGTTTTGGGTGAGATATTCCCATTTTTATCAAGTGTTTTGCTGAGTTCTAGCGGTAGTGTTTTGTTGAGAGAAACACTAGCAATCAGGACTTTCTGACCACCTTGTTAGGGATTGTGGAAGGGCTTTTACTAGATTCCAGGCCTCTTGATTCAGTTGGTCTTGGATCTCAGCCTCTGGGATGCGGCAGGAGACATGTTGACTTTTTCAGCAGGCTGGCACGGTGAAAACAGTGGAGGTTCTGTCCCTCGTCCAGACCCCTTGTTTATTTCCACAGTCTCATTTAAACAGTGCGGGTTCTGCATGAACAAATATGGAGGGCGAACACAAGCACTGCAGGATGGTTTTTTGCTGAGGTTTAAGGCCCGTCTATTCCAGACGTTTTGCTCCAAAATACCCAGCCCGACTCGTGAAGACTGCGGGTAATTATTTCCAGTTGTAGGTTAATGAATGGAAACTGGTGCCCGGCCTAAACCCAGGAGGCTTCTACAGCCACCAAAAGTAGGAACGAGACGCTGTTATTTATCAGATTTTCTTTTGCCTACTTCTCTGTTTTTGAAGTTGCAAGATCTAGGTCAAGCAAGGTGATGTTTTTTTTTTTTTTTTTTTTTTTTTAACCTCTTCCTCTTCTCTGTTTTCATCATGTGTGCCAGTTTAGTAGTTAACTTGAAGTGTAACACCATCCTTGGTGTGTGTGTGTGTGTGTCTGTGTGTGTGTGTCTCTGTGTGTGTGTGTGATAGATCTCTTTTACACCTGGCTCTGTGCCCCAGAATGCCAACTTGTTTTTTTAGCTTAACTTGTAGCTAATTTCTGTGGTGTGTAATTCCATTAACTTTTAATTAATCAAATCTGTCTGCTGTGTTTTTGCTTTCGCAGGCTCCTATCCTGTGCTGACCCAATGGTTTAATCACCAGGACTAAAAATGAGCATAAGCAGTGATGAGGTTAATTTCCTGGTTTACAGATACCTGCAAGAGTCAGGTAAGTCCAATAGCATGTTTTTTTTTTTTCTTTTACTTCTGCAGTGGCTGTAAATTGCACCAGTTTAAAAATTTAGCATTTTACTCTGCTGCTCCTGCCTAAATTAACTTTGACTCCGTACCACTTTCTAAATAATCTATTCCTCCTCCAGGCTTCTCCCATTCAGCGTTCACCTTTGGCATAGAGAGCCACATCAGCCAGTCCAACATCAATGGAGCCCTGGTGCCCCCTGCTGCCCTCATCTCCATCATCCAGAAGGGCCTGCAGTATGTGGAGGCTGAAGTCAGCATCAATGAGGTCAGGCTCCATCTTCACAACGTCAGCTACTAATTAGTGGAAATTTATATAATGCCGGGGAGAGGTGCACCATCACCTTTTTTGTGTCTGTTGGCTTATGTGGTGTTAAATATTTTTCCATTATTGTTTAAGTGATTAACGGTAATGTCCAGCGACTTCGGTTGTATAACATCATGTGTTGTCTGCGCAGGACGGGACCTTATTTGACGGGCGACCCATCGAGTCGCTGTCTCTGATCGACGCTGTGATGCCAGATGTGGTCCAGACCAGGCAGCAGGCCTACAGAGACAAGCTGGCACAGCAGCAGCAGGCGGCAGCAGGCAGTGGCAGCAGCACAGGGCCACAGGGAAGCACCAAGAACGGAGAGGGCGCAGCCAACGGGGAGGAAAACGGATCCCACGCCTTAGCCAGTAAGCTAGCTCGTGGTCGTAAACAACCTCTGAATCAGCTTCTTAACCAGTCGCAGGTTCCTTGTTTTAGGCAGGATGTTATTTTTGCTTTGGTACGGGGTTACACCACGAAACAGTGTTGACGTTATCCTTTTAAACACATTGCCCAAAACACTTCAGTTCTGTAACTTGGTGCAGGATAGTATGACCTACATTTATATCCCACGCATAAGCAAAGCTATGAGGTAAAACTCCTTCCTAACTTTGGTTAAAAATGTGAAGAATGTGTATCACGGCTGCAGGGAAGTTTCCATCTATCTGTAAACAAAAGTACGTCCTTGCGTTGAACATCAGGGTCATAGTCTGTAATAGTCTGAATTATGAGCACCAAATGCAGCTGCTGCAAACAAAGCATAAGACTCTTTGTTTGAATGTGAAAGGAAAACTATGGTCTGGTTTGCCTTTTTGCGCTATTCACAATTACACTGAACATTAGATTAAATTAAAAAACGGCTGCTGAGGGGTGGATTTAGATTCTAATTCTCAGCTTTCCAATGCAGGAACTCGGTCCCGGTGCAAGGTAGCACCAACGTTTATAGGAATGCTCCTGTAATTTGCTTTTTCAGTTTCCGATGCGGCACTTGATGTGTCAAAAGATCAATAAAGAACAGTTACTGAATGTGAGTCCAGTTCTGTGTAGGAACTGTAACAGTGGAGGGTTTGTTCTGTTAGCCTGTAGGGCCAATTTTACTTTACTGATGTCGATGTTGGAGAGAAGAAAACTGCTACCCAAGAAGGACACCGACAGGGCAGAAAAATTACCCGTGCTCTCAGCTCCCAGTTTAACCAATCAGCATTTGTCTTCTGCGCGTCAATGTCGAGTCCCGCACAATAGTTTTCAAGGCTGCTCAGGAGTACCTACCCCGGTGTAGGATAAAGGCGCTGAAAGAGGTTCTACAGGAGTGGTTCTTGAGGTCGGAACGTGCACAATAATAACAACATAATAATAACATGGGGCTGATCACTTGTATCTTCCATTTTAGGGAGAAGCTCAGATTTGCTGTGAACAACCCAAAGGGCATCTTATGTTTTACATTCATTTGACTGTGTTTTAAATGCATAGCTGTCAAACTCTTGTGGTGCTCGAATGCCTCGACACTGAGCTCCCTCTGTGTGGACACAGCGGTGTTAGCCATTTGACAACAGCACAGCTGGCTCTTCAGTTCCACAGCTGGTCAGTCCAGTGTGCCGAGCGCAGCACCGTTTACTTAAATCTTCTTAAGAAACGCTGGCGTCGCTGCTCTGTTTGAATTAGGACCGAGGAGTGACGTACATGTGTGCTGCTGTGGGACTGGTCCGGGTCGTAGTAATTAGATGATGTCACGCTGTCATTATGAACCTCTGCCATTGTTAAATGTTTTGCAGTTTTGCTTGCCTCGTTGTTAATGTACTTTCCACAATAAAAACGTTGGTGTTGGGAAACATTAGTTATTCATTTCTCGGGTAATGGGCTCTTTTACTGGAAGTGGTGATTCATTACATTCGGCTGAAAATTGTAATTTCATTGCAGCTTCCTTACATTTAGCACAGCGAGGCAGTTAATCAATCATGTTATGTAAACTTTATGTTTTTGTCTCTCTTTCCTGTAGATCACCACTCAGAGATGATGGAGGTGGACAGGGACGTGGAGATCCCCCAAAGTAAAGCCATGGTCTTGAGGGGCCACGAGTCCGAAGTTTTTATCTGTGCCTGGAACCCGGTGAACGACCTCCTTGCCTCTGGGTTAGTATCAGCTCCGTCCCCACATCTGTAGCTGCTCATGTAGTGGCTGGAAAAGTGTAATTCTCACAGGGAGAGTCAAGTTGACTAATGTGTTAATTCATATTAGTCACACTGCTGTCACATTTTTAGATGTAATGGTCAGCAGCAGTCACCACGACTCCTCTGGCCCTGTTTGTGGTCAAGAGTAGATTGAGGCATTACAAATGTACTCATGGACCACAACTATTTAAAGGAAAATTTGAGTAGTTTTAAACTCGGTGTCTAGTCTCTGATCTGTTTCAGTGTAAATGATTAATATGGAGTCACTACAGTATTGAGCAAGAAGGATATGTCTGACAACTGCAGTGTAATCTGCTTGCACAAGGACTGCTGACTGAGTGGCTGTTTCTGCCGTTGTGCTGCCGATCTATTGTGTGTACCGAAGTCAGGTCAACAAAATACCTTTACCTGATAACATTGGCACCTTTCGGTCTGCAGCCGATCTCTCCACTCTTGGAACAGCATTTTTCTGCTCTTAAAAGTGCTTTGGTGTCGGATTTCTTCTCTCTATCTGACTGGCGGTTGTCGGCCCGGTCCAAACGGTCACTGCAAACACACTGGTCAACAAGGTGTATAGACAACAGCGTTTTCCTCCAGCTGTAACTGTGTAATGTGACTCCATTCTTCCCTGGATGGCTCTCTCTCTAACTGTTGCTCATGTTGACACCGTTATCTTCCTGCAACAACTCGCCTCTGGTGAGATTTCATAGCGGCGCTACCTGTTAGACACGTGTCTGTCTGTGAACAAGCACGTTCACTTTAAAGCTGAGTAAGGGTGGGTACCGAAACCTGGTGTTAAACACATTTCTGGTTTTAATCATTAAAGACCAATAGATTGATGAGCTCTGACATGATTGCTTCTGCACAGGAGAAGTTCTAAAATGTACATTTATTCCTATTTATTATTGCTTCATAATCCTGCATACTTCATCTCACCAACCAGTTGATGCATTTTCTCTGTTGTGATCCAGAGTAAAGATCTCTCTCTCTTAACCTGTGTGTGAAATGTGCAGCCTGCAGCACTCGTGCACAGAGACACACTGCTCTTAGTGACGATGGTAGAGGGAGGTAAACGTTCAGAAGTAGAGTTAAACTTTACCTGAGCTGATGCTAACAATCGTTGTTGCTAAAAGTGCAACAGGTCTTTTGCATGTAGTAGTGGAAACATCATCATAGTATATATCTCGTGCCAAGGCTATGTCATTTGTATAAACATGGGTTAATAATTATGAGTAACCAGCCACTATAGGTGTGTTAGTAAATGTTCAGTGCCCCTGAATCACTACAGCTGTGAGATTTAGTGATTTAAGGGCTGCAGCCAATTTTTGTCTTTATTTTAACCCTTGCTGTAATTCAGGCCTTGTCCACACGTAGCAGGGTTTTTATAAAACCGAATACCCTCTCCCCTACACCTATCACCTCGTTTTTACAACAAAAATTCATCCACACCTAACCACGTGAGTGTGCTGTTCAGCACATTCGGAAACTGCCGAACCTTAAGGTGGCAGTAGTTCCCCAAATCCCATCCAATCAGAGTAAGCTTCCGTCTCTTAATGTCGTCCTTCGCCTGTGTTCTTGTACATGGAGCGGTATCTGGGCCTGGACAGTTTTGAGGGCGTCCACGCTGTTTCCGGATGTAAACACAGGTCGCATATGTGACGTAAGAACATGTTTGTCGCAGGTAGTGGCATTTGGAAACCTAAAACGCCGGTCATTGGCATCCACATACAGACACATAAACGGAGGATTCGCAACTCTTCACTTTGTTCTTTGAAAGGATCGTTTTTAATGCCGTAAATCTGCGCTTTCGTGGGGATGACAGGCCAAATCGTAGAAAAATATCTTCGTTTTGTGAGACAGCCTGCTACGTGTGGACGAGGCCTTAATGCCAGTTTTGTTTGTGGCAGAATAAGTGCTCAGAACCTTATCCTTAAAAAGTCCTGCGTTCATTTTTCTACTCAAAAATGACGAGTGAAAGAGGAGCTGTAAGGATAGAAAATGAAGCTGTGTTGATTCTGTTTTTGATTTAGTTTTTCCCTCTTAACAGTAGCCAAAAGCTAATATAACAAACCCTCCACTGTTGTATTTCCTCCGTAGTCAAAAGCACTGTTAAAATACTGGATGGAAAAGCAGCATCAGTAAGAGTTAAAATCTTAATGATACCCAGTCCTCAGGTGGACAGATGCCCAGTAGGATTACAGTGCAGCTGCTTGGTGGTTGTAGTGTTCTCGCTCAGTAGTTGCCAAATGCAAAATTCACTTTAAACAAACTCTTTGATGAACTGGCTAATTTTTAAACTCTAATTACACCTGTCAACATTTGGGTCCTAAGTTTATGCAAAGACTGAGCTTGTTTTATGAAGTCATTCCTCCTTTATCAGCATAAGACAAGCCTTTGTTGACAAGTCATTGTTGGTTCGCTGTGGTTGTCCCTTAACACAGCAGAATGTGTTGTGTTGATGATGTGTGTTTGTTTAAAGCATATCTCAGAATGCTGCTCTCGTGCTGGAAATGTGTCAGAGTTTCCAGTAACAGCTGGACCCAGAGCAGCAAATTCTCTAAATAGCTATAACTGAAACCCGCCCATAGTGACGGATAAATTGACAAGAAGTATGTCTGCTGCTACAATCTGTGTGCATTTTACCATCAGCAGCCTGCACTATGTGTTTATTGGCTTTTTTTTTGGCTTTAGCAGATGGCCCGAGTCGGGTTCTGTGCACCGTGTACCTCTTAGCTGATTGGTCCTAACCGCAAACATGGCATTTCACTCTGCTCTTATTTAATTATTAGGGCCAAGGTTAAACAATTTGTAAATGTCCAAGTCAAACAAAGGCCCCTTATTGAATCAATTATCTGCCAGGATGATGTCATACATTCTCAGCTCCTTCCTCCTGGTGTTTGTCAACATGTCTCGACCGAGGTTCCGACGTTTTTGAGCAATCAGACTGAATTCAGCGAGATATGCAGCTCGTTTCCGCCGAGTCAATCCACAGCTGTAAACATTCAAATAACGAGATTCAGAAATATATTATTAACGTGTGAGAAATAAGCGTACTGTGATCAGAATGCTGGGAGGAAATTAGGTCGCCAAGCTAAACATATTCGAGGACTGGAATGGTTCGTCATCTTTCTACAGTCGACTTTCTCCTAAATTAAACAGTTTAAATTCTAAAGATGGCTCAACAGAGGTAAGTATCCAGCTCAGTGTGCGTTCAGTAGTCCTGCTCCTAAGTGTAGACGTGCCTCTTAAAATGAGATATAAAAGGAGAATCGGCGTAATTACATCGAGAACAACCCTCTAATTTATCTCAGGGTCTGCATGTGGGGGCAAATGTCCACACGAACCACGTTAATGAGTGTTGTGCTTGTAAAATGTCTTTCTCCTTTTTCTTCAACAGATGATGTGAAAAGGTTTGATAGGGATTTAAAAAGGTTTTGGATTTGATGGTTTGGGTTCAGGTTCGATAAAATGCCTTTAATCCCCAACCCTACTCAGGAGCAGTGATGGTCAGTTTTATAACATTTTCAGTAATGATTTTTGACGCCGCCGCTCCGTTCGGGTGCCTAACGCGCCCGTTGTCTCGCCTCGGGCAGGTCCGGGGACTCGACGGCACGGATCTGGAACCTGAGTGAGAACAGCACAGGCGGATCCACCCAGCTGGTTCTGAGGCACTGCATACGGGAAGGGGGCCAGGACGTACCCAGCAACAAAGACGTCACCTCACTAGACTGGAATGTGAGTTTGTGTGTCTGTCTGTGCGTGTGAGTCCCACTGAGTGCAGTTTTTAGTAATCTAATATATCGGTGTGTGGGTGTGTGCGCGCCTGTGACCGCTACATTTGCTGAAGGCATTCCTTCCAGCCATATATATGGGGGCGAGTCACTCCCACAAGAGAGGGGAGAAGGCCTTTCATGCTGCTCAGCTGCAAACTATTTTTTCCCAGAGTAGTACAAGTCAATGCACAACACTCAATGAGCCCTAATATAGAATCTATCATTAACTGCTTAAACGGAGACGGAGGGGTATACCTGTGAAATAAGACGTGAAAGAGATTTAAGTGCACCTAACGATCTGCGTCTTTCTTTCAGAGTGAGGGAACGTTGCTAGCAACAGGCTCCTATGATGGCTTTGCTAGAATATGGACAAAAGACGGTAAGACTCTCAGCGTTCACTACATTAATCGTTGGTAAGCACATGTTTCAGGGCTCTTTCTAAGCTGCATCTGATTATTACGCTTTCAGGTAACCTGGCCAGTACATTGGGTCAGCATAAAGGACCTATATTTGCACTCAAGTGGAATAAGAAAGGAAACTTTATCCTCAGTGCTGGTGTAGACAAGGTAAGGCCGTATTGATCTGAGCGGTGATTTATGGCTTTATGAATTGATTGTCTGTGAACGTTCAGGCTGCTGGTTGGACAAAACAAACGATTTGAAAACGTTATCTTGGGCTGTGAAGGTCATTTTATTTACTTTTTTTTAAGTTTTACAAAATAATATAGTGAAGAACGGATCAATAGTAATAAAAAAGTTGTTGAATTTTAGGTTAGGTTCCAAATTTCCATTATGATAACTGTATTAAAGCTATTCTCTACAAACTAGGGCTTCATTAAATGTTTATATATTATATAAAAATAACTCTTAAGGGCAAATTTTTTAACAATGTCTGTAGAAAATTTGGACGCTCTCGGCCAAATTGCTCTTAAACTTTGCGTCTGTGTTTGTGTCGAGCGTAGGTAGAGAGTCTGTAACTGTGCAAAAGTGTAGACGATGAACTGATAAACAACAAGTCTCACATCAGTACAGTGTCAAGTGAAACCGCCCACTATGTTGAAGTGTCAGGCTGATAGCTGCTGGTGCTGGATTATTGACAGCATCATGATGTGGGCATTGTGTTTTTTTAATTATCACAGAACATCAGTGCAATGCATCCCCTCTACTACAAACATAACTAGATATCTACGTACTCAGAGAACTATATGGATGTCTGTGTGTCACATAAGGGTTTTCTTACGCTTCACAAATGTGAAGAGGTAACAGATGATTGAGGAGCATCTAATCAAAAATCATGCAGTCAGAATTACAACGAGCATCATTTTATAAACGGATCAACAGTGCCACCTACTGTAGTGACGGATTACGACATGTGCAGCGTAACTACATACTCTGATGTCTTGGAGGCATAAAGAGGCTTTAGGTCTGTGTGATCTATCAGCGTCCCCGTCTATCTCCTCCGCTTGTGTACATTTTTCATTATGACTTGCAGAATTTTTAAATGAGACACAAACCGCCTTTTTTTCATAGTCGAGGTAATGTTTTTATTGATTTCTTGACATGAGCGATGCTGGTTTGTTATAAATAATGAAAACCTCCTCCTCCTCCTCCTCCTCCTCCCCGCAGACAACAATTATTTGGGACGCACACACAGGAGAGGCGAAGCAACAATTTCCTTTCCACTCGGGTGAGTGACAGGAGTCAGGTGCATTGTTCCACATGACTTTTAATGCGGGACGCTTTCTGTTTTTAGACAGATGTTACCTTTGCTGAACTGCAGTGAGATCATACTGATCATAAATTCATTTTTTTCAGTCATCGAGTCTTTCTGCACATCATAAATTACATCTCAGTGTCAGTTTCAGTGTTTGGTTTAGTTAAAGAAGTCACCCGGTGTCGTCGTAGTGTTTGACTCAGGTACAGTAGGTTTGTTGCAGGGTTTGCTAAAGTTTCCGTGGCTGGTTTAGGCACAGAAGTTGCCACGTCTAGTTGTGCTTTAGTTGCAGAAGTTGTTGCATGTAGTAGTAGGTGTTGCTGTAGTTTTGGAGGCCGGTTTATTTAGTTGCTGTGTGTGTGGTTGCAGGTGTATCTGTATATGTGTCAGCTTTATTTGCATTGGAGCCTCACCAATACCTGAGTTTTTGAGAGCAATACTGATTACTGAATACTTGGGATTAAGATATTCTGATATCACTATATTTCCCAATATTTCTATAAATGTTATTCATATTAAAAATGCAAAATAATGAGGTCATTGTTCATTAACTTTCCTGCAATGTATTTCACAAATTATTGAGAAGCATCAAGACAAAGCTTGATACTCTGCTACATGTGCTGCAGACAGTCTGAGCTGCTCTGTTGGATGAACTATGTGCTGACATCATTTGTAAATGACCAGAAGCATGTGGCAAGGTGGATTGGTGGTTAGCATCGTCGCCTCGCAGCTAGAAGGTCGCCGGTTGGCGTCCCGGTGAGGACACCCGGGATCTTTCTGAGTGGAGTCTCCATGTTCTCCCTGTGCAGCGTGGGTTCTCTCCGGGTTCTCCGGCTTCCTCCCACAGTCCAGAAACATGCTGAGGTTAATTGGTGATTGTAAATTGTCCGTAGGTGTGAATGTGAGTGTGCTTGGTTGTCTGTCTCTAAGTGTAGCCCTGTGATAGACTGGTTACCTGTCCAGGTGAACCTGCCTTCACCCTGAGTCAGCTGGGATAGACTCCAGCCCCCCATGACCCTAGTGAGGATGAAGATGTAGAGATGATGGATGGATGGATCTTTTTCTGTACTAGGTTCTGTGAAAAACGTTGTCATGGTACTGATACATCTGTGATGTTGACTAACTGATACATTGGTCGGCCTCTAAGCATATTTCAAACCACAGAAGTCGCCTGCATTGGCTTTCTGTTTGAATTAAAATTACTTACAACACAAATAAACATAAATGAGAGAAATACAATAAATGGATTTGGTTGCAGAAGTCGTATGTAGCAGCAGGTGTTGCTGCACTTGTAGTGGTTGGTGTAGATGTCTTACTTGATTTTATGACCTGCTTGTTTTTGTGTGAAGCACTTTGCACGAGTTTAGAGAAGAGCTCTGTAAGTAAAAACCAACAATGATGATAAATACTATTATCTTTTGCGCGACAGCTTTTTGGTTTGTTGCTGTACGACACTGACAGACTTTCCTCTTACCTGAATGTGGAGAAGTCACACCTCTGCACTCGTGGTATTGATCTAAGTAACTGTCAGATGTGGTGCTAAAAGGTGTTTGCTTCTCCCAGCTGTCACAAAGCACTTTATCAGGGTAAACTGTTCCCTATAATATTCTAAGGTCTTCACTCTGAGGTGACTTATGCTGTGATTTGGTGCTATTTAAATATAACGCAGTTGACTTAAATGTGGCGATACGGAGTCTAGCTTCAGATCATTATCTTCATGTCTCGTAGTTTGTGTGCATAACTCATTGCTGCTTCGGCCCTAAGCGGTGTCTCTGCTTCCCAACAGCTCCTGCTCTGGACGTAGACTGGCAGAGCAATAACACGTTTGCCTCCTGCAGCACAGACATGTGCATCCATGTGTGTAAGCTGGGTCAGGACAGACCTGTCAAGACCTTCCAGGGACACACGGTAAGACAGGACTCTGTGGTGTGAGCGCTGCTTTCTCAAAAACGCTCCGCCGGCCAAATGTGCTCCTGTTAGATTATGTGAAGGCTGATTGTAGCTTCTGACCAGAGTTTCAGAAAGTGCATTTAGACGCTGCTCTGACTACATCTGTCCATTAAAAATCACCGCTGTGAAAAACCTGGAAGTAGTTTAATTATTAAGTTGTTATAATGGATTGAATAAAAAAAAATAGAAATATGGAAACGGGTGGTGCAAACATGTACAATTTGAATACGAGTCAATCCAACACAATGGAGGTAGTGTGTGTGTTAGTCCAGTCCTCGGGTGTTTAGCAGTCTTATGGCTTGAGGGATGAAGCTGTTGCACAGTCAGGCCGTAACATCCCGTGTACAGTATTTTTCTAAATCAGGGGTGCTCAATCCTGGTCCTCGAGGGCCACAGTCCTGCATGTTTTAGATGTTTCTATCTTCCAACATACCTGATTCAAATGATCAGCTCATCATCAAGCTCTGCAGAAGCCTGATAACGATCCTGATCATTTGAATCAGGTGTGTTGGAAGAGGGGAACATCTAAAACATGCAGGATTGTGGCCCTCGAGGACCAGGATTGGACAGCCCTGTTCTAAATGAGTGCTGGTGTAGTACACCAACCACATGTGCTGTTTATGTTTGTTCTAACCCACGTCTCGCTCGTGCCAGAATGAAGTGAATGCCATCAAGTGGGACCCCACCGGCAGCTTGCTGGCCTCCTGCTCTGATGACATGACGCTCAAGGTCAGTTCACACGACAAGCTGATGTCATCTCACGATCCAGAAAAGCACAAAGCGGGCCTCATTCAGACCTGTTTCTGATGTGTTGTTTCTGTCTTGCCGCTGCTTTCCATCCTCTCTGGTGTAGATCTGGAGTATGAAGCAGGACTCGTGTGTTCACGACCTCCAGGCCCACAGTAAAGAAATCTATACCATCAAGTGGAGCCCCACAGGCCCCGGGACCAATAACCCCAGCGCCAACCTCATGCTGGCCAGGTAGGAGCACAGAACAACAGCGTCCTACCCATCTTCCTCCTTCTGACACTGGACGTCAAGAATATGAGTAATAAGAAAACTAGTAGCTGCTGCTGTCTGCTTTCAGCACCGCAGAGGGTTAGGCCTGCTCTTCTGATTTGTTTAACGCCAATACGTTTCTTTATTTATTTTACCACAGCATGTGAAGTTTGTGAGGCGGCGCTGCCACACTTCAGAGGTGACGGCGAGAACAGCAGGCACGCCGGTGTCTTCATTACAGGGAATCCAAGATTAATCACCCTGATGCATAAATCATACATTAGTAATAGCCTAATTTTATGCATGATGATGAAGATACAGAAAAATAGAAATGCGAGGCAGAAATAGACCACACAAAATTTCACAAATGGTATTGTCAGGGGAGCTCATGTCTTATTAAGAGGAGCCAAGCTCCCCGTGGCTCCACCGTAGTTAGCACCCAGTCCACAGTGGCTCAGCTGAGCCTGAAATAACGGCGTCAAACAAATGAGGATGGGCTTCTCACCTCAGCAACTCATTAGATCTCCATGGTTTATGTGGAACTGACAGAGCTACATTGAATTATTAAAGGACTATACTTCTCCACTTCTTAATCCTTCAGTTGTGCCATGTTGGTTTCCGAGCTCTCAATTCACACATTTCTTTTGCCTTGAGTGTTTGACTCTATTTAGCAGGGCTTTTAAATGCTTCTAAGGTTTGTGTCACAGAACTGGGACATGGCTGATGCACGATAGAAGGAAAAGGATGGTGTTCTTTCATAGACGGGTGCAGTTTTTCAGTTAATCAGCAGCCGTCGTGTCCAGTTGACTCGCTGTATTTTACGGCTCTGGATGCATGATGATTAGCTCACTTTGCATCTTCCTCTTCTTCTGTCCCTCTGTAGTGCATCCTTTGACTCCACAGTGCGTCTGTGGGATGTGGAGCGTGGGGTCTGCATCCACACGCTGACCCGCCACCAGGAGCCCGTCTACAGCGTGGCCTTCAGCCCAGATGGCAGGCACCTCGCCAGTGGCTCCTTCGACAAATGTGTCCACATCTGGAACACTCAGGTCTGGGACAATACTTTTAGATTACAGTGCCTATAACAAGTGTTCACCCACCTTGGAAGTCTTTTCGACATTGAATCATGGTTGATATTCAGTTCCTTTAAGTGTTGTTGTCTTGCTGGAAAACAAATCTTCTGCCAAGTCGTGGTTCTCTTGCAAACTGCATCAGGTTGTCCCCGTGCATTCATTTTACAATCTACCTTTACTGCAGAGAAGCATCTCTGTGTCATGATGCTGCCACCGCCGTGCTTCATGGTGGGGATGATGTGTTTGTGATGTTGAAAAGTGAGTCTCCCACGTGCCTTCTAGCCAACCTCAGTCAAGGTTTATTATGAGCGTTCTTCAACAGCAGTGGCTCTCTCTTTCCCACTCTCTCCCAAAGCTTTGACTGGTGAAGAACCTGAGCATTAGAGTCGTCATAGGCGTGGCCTCCCTCAGTAGTCCGTTTCTTTCACTTTCATGTAGTGTTTGAATCTGATTCAGTGACTGGACCTTCCTGACGCTGGCGTCTTTATGCTACATGCACTAAGAGGAACTCCATTTTACTCATTATGTGTCTTCCAGCACTGACTGGCTGCACCTTTGTTGAATTAGGTGAATTACTTGAAAGGAGGGAATACATGCAGTCACTTATTTTACATTTTATGTTTTTGTATAAGGGCTGCAAGGTGTCTCGGTGGTTAGCACCGTTGCCTTACAGCTAGTTCACGTCCCGGTGAGGACACCCGGGATCTTCCTGCGTGGAGTCTCCATGTTCTCCCTGTGCAGTGTGGGTTCTCTCCGGGTTCTCTGGCTTCCTCCCACAGTCCAGAAACATGTTGAGGTTAATTGGTGATTGTAAATTGTCCGTAGGTGTGAATGTGAGTGTGCTTGGTTGTCTGTCTCTAAGTGTAGCCCTGTGATAGACTGGTTACCTGTCCAGGTGAACCTGCCTTCACCCTGAGTTAGCTGGGATACACTCCGCCCCCCATGACCCTAGTGAGGATTAAGCGGTGGATAGATGATGGATGGATGGAAATCTGTTTTCACTTTGACAAGAAATTTTTTTTTTTGTAAATTCTTGTCGAAAATTAAACTACACATAATTCAGTGTTGAAAAGCAATAAAAGGGGAAAGCTTCCAGGTGGGGGTGAATACTTTTTATAACCACGCACATGTTAGTCAACACTCAACTAAAGCACCACATATATGATAAAGGTTTTGATCAATTTAAGTGACAAATCCGTGTGTGTGTGTGTCTTCAGACGGGCGCTTTAGTCCACAGCTACCGAGGGACAGGAGGGATCTTCGAGGTGTGCTGGAACGCCACCGGGGACAAAGTAGGAGCCAGCGCATCAGACGGATCGGTGAGTTTTCATCACCCACGTTGTCGTCACCGCTGAAAGTAGCAGCCACCCACGTGCGCTCTGGCCCGCGTGTACTAATTTCACACCAGGTTGCCGACCTGGGAAACGTGTGTGTCGGCACTGTGCATTAAAGGGTAAGCAGATGCTATTAAAATGCTCGGGGGTCAGAATCAGGGTTGAAACTGAAACCTGCTAAAGATTAAAGTTCAGTGCTTGACTCATGACACGGGGGAAGTTCCTGTTTGACCAATCGGACGCAGATGTAACTCAAAGCATGGATGCATCTCGTCTAGACTAATGCAGGAGTTTGTGTGTTTGTGGGTGTTGGACAAGGTTGTGCAGGGATTGTGGAGGGTGAGGGATCAGCATTTGAAGACACAGCTGTGACAGATTGAGCTCAGCACAGTTTGAAACGTGGTCTGAAAAACTGAATGGAAATGTAACAGGAGATGCTGCAGTGCCATTAGGTGACACTAGATAGAGCCATTAGCGCATGAAATACGAGTCACTGCTCAATAGATGAACCACCTTTAAGTTTTCAGCACTCGACTAGCAGCCTGTGATCAACGCTGTTTAACATTTTGGGGGGAAATATTCAAATCAAATCTAGTTTATATTCATGTTGTTGTACATACAAAGCAGTACAGGCAGGATGAGAGAGAGCGCTTCTTCAGGACCCAATAACTTAAAGCAGTTTAAATAAAGAAGTGTTTGCATATCTGGATCAGCAGTTCAGCATCCTGACAGCTTGTGGCATGAAGCTGTTGATCAGTCTGAAGGGTCTTCCTTTAACGCTCCGGAAACGTTTGCCTGATGGCAGCAGTTCATGGAGAGGGTGTGAGGAGTCCCTGACAATGTTCAGGGTCCTGCTCCTGCAGCGGCTCTGGAGAAGCTCTTGGACAGAGGTGAGGGAAACTCCGATGCCCCTCTCAGCTCCTCTAACTGTCCTCTGCAGGGCTTTTCTGTCTGACAGACTGCAGCTGGAGGACCATGTTGAGATGCAGGATGTCAGAACGCTCTCCACCACACCTCTGGAGAAAGTCCTGAGGATGCTGGCAGGGAGAGAGGCTTGTTTCAGCATCCTCGGGAAACGTTTGATGATCGCTGCAGTGTGCTTATTCCAGCTCGGGTCCTGCGAGATCTGCCCTCCGAGGAACTCGATGTTCATATTCAGACCCCTGTTCACTTTGATGGCATTTTGTGTTGTTGACTCTTGGTCTATTTGAGCAAACGCAGCGAGCGAGAAGCAGCGTGATAAGAGAGGTGACTGCAACCTTCCATCAGCCGGGCGTTTATGGCCTAGTGGGTGCAGAGAGGCCACTGCAGAGCGTCGGGGCTGACACAGCCATCTGTTCACAGACAGTTCACGGATACTTCTCAGCCAAAGTCAGAGAGGTTGTGAGGATTAGATGTGAATTTGAACGAAACTGGTGGTGAAAGTGGAGGAGTGGAAAGTCACTGCCCTGGTGCTTCTGCAAAAACCTGAATACAGTCTCTTGGCTACGTGTGGCGGCGTTTTGTCAAGAAAAAAACAATAAAACCGGTGTATCGTCCAGAAATATCATGAAAACCTGTCAAATCTCTGCAACCACTGGCAGCAAAAGTGTGTTTGTTTTCAAATGAAAACGAACAATATGTGAGGCAGGGAACACGAGGTTTGTCAAACAGGAACCGCTGAAGGGGATCTAAGCATTGCGGCCTAACGTAAGGCACAGAGAGAAGCGGGGGGCTTCTTGGTTTTGCCGTTTCCTGTGAGTAACTGTTCCTCCAGTGTTCCCTCAGTCTTCCTGGTAAAATAGGATGTGTGTCATCATTTCAAGGAATTCAGATGATTAACAACGCCTGTAAAGTGGTCCACATTTCTCTGAAGCCAGCATTTGTTTTGTTTTCTTTAACACGCACCTGAAAAAATCTTGAGATAAACCTTCGTGTCATCTTTTTGTTATTCAGAAAAAGATGGTCTAGTCCTGTCTGTTTAGTTCAGATCAGTGGCACAGATTCTGAAACTGACTGAATTCTGTGTGTGTGTGGCGTAATTCTTCAGAAAGCAGCAATGCCGTGTAGATCTGTCATCTAATCTGGTGTGAGTTTTGCTGATCGCTGGTCAACTTTTTCCTCCCTGTGAAGCTGGAATTGTTTCACCACCCTTCTTAAGAAAAAGACCGATTCTGTAATTGGAATATTTCTTTTCCACCCTGCCGAGACCAACCAGTCGACTCCACCGGCGTATCCGTTACGGAAATTCAGTCTTTCCATTTAGACGCAGAGGTTGAGTTACACCAAGCAGATCGATAGTGTTCCTCCCTCCGCTGCTGCAAGGTTGAATATTTTACTCGAGGTCTCTTTTTTTCTTTCCAAGTAAAACTAAGAACGTGTTCATGGCTAAAGTGTTTGAGAGCTGAAGTAATTTTCAAAGGTGGGATGAAGTTGGAATTGCAGGATGATGGTATCTCTGAAATAAACCTCAGTCATCCGACGTTTGAGAGGACAGCATCCAAAATAGTCAAAGAGATTCTTCAGATGTGAAAATTATTGGTGGAGGAGATGCAGAAGTCTAATTTCCTCTTCTTACTATATGCTGAAAAGGTTCATGTGAAACATTTCCCAATAAAAGTGCTGCTGACCCCAGCTTTAATCAAGGTGTAGCTTCTGAGTTTGTAGATTTCAACTAAAATCATTCGCACGTGTCCTGATGGTCTCCAGGCGTAGCTGCCTGTGTCTCATCACGGAGATAAACGGCTTCCCTCTCAGACCTCTGAATGGGAAGAATCAGCTTAAATTATTATGTGACAGATTTTCCGTTAACCGTGAAAGGATGTGAGAGCTCCCAGTTAAAGCTTTCACCCACACCCCACTTCCAGTCCTGTTAAACCTCCAGTTGATTCATGAAAGCAAAAAAAACTAAATCGTGACAATGAATTGGTGTCTTCCTTTTTCAAACATATTTTTTGGGCTTTATTTAGAGCAGTAGAGAGACATGAAAGGGGGGAGAGACCTGCAGCAAAGGGTCACGAGCAGAATTCGAACCCACGACCGCTGCATCGGGGAGCTATAGCCACTGTTCATGGGTCACCCGCTCGACTAGGTGAGCTGTAGGGGCATCCAGGATTGGTGTCTTATAAATCCAGAAACCAATAGACTAGGTTTAGACGAAGACCTAGCCCCAAAGAGAAAGCTTCAGAAATCTAAAAACTGGGTTTTAAATGTCTCCAAGTGTCTCTAAATGTCTACAGGGGCTCAGGTGGTAGAGCAGGTTGTCTTCCAATCACAAGGCTGGTTCGATCCCCCGCCCCTCCACAGTAGAAGTGTCCTTAGACAAGACGCTGAACCTGAAGTTGCTCCCGATGGCGGGCAGCACCTTGCATGGCAGCTCTGTCACCATTGGTAGAGGAATGTGTGTGAATGGATGAATGAGAAACACATTGTAAAGCACTTTACAAGTGCATACCATCTATATTAATGTCTCCAAGTTGATCAATTACAGGTTTGAAAAATCTGTGTATAGTGGGGTTTTTTTGTTTGTTTAAAAAAAAAAAATCTAGATTACAAATGATTAGATCCGAGTCAGTAAAGATTTTTGTGTTTTCACAAACAGCACAAAGGTTTGATTAAACCTGGACTGTGTTAGTCGTGGCTGCTCGTTAAGTAGATACGGGTCTAAGTGGGCTCAGTCAGAAGCTTCTGTGTTTTTAAGGTCCAACTGGTCCAACTGTTGTTTGGTTTTCATTAATAGAATAATTTTAAATCTGAAAGTGGACTTTGAGAAGGCTTTAAGTAGGATTTAGAAGCTTCTCACAACAATAGGTGCATCAACAGGTTGACAGTCAGGAGCTAAGTCTTGTTGTCAGTTAGGTTTTGATCGCTGAGAACCGGCAGCTTAGTTTTAGTTTACAAGGTTTTCTGTTTGTTATTTTGATGCAGTCATATGTTGATCACTCAGGAGAGTCAAAAGCAAAGCAGCAGGCCTCCTTCACAGCAGACAGTTTGACTTATCACATTAGGGAAAGCCCAAGTGGAAATAATCTCTGTCTCGGAGAGCAGTGGACCGGTACCGGGCCACACAGAAAGAATAAAAACATTTTGTTGGTTTATTTTTATTTCCAGCTGGGTCTGCAGGGTGTTTTATTTTGAAAACTGATTAGCTCGTCTTCCCATCACCTCCGTCTGTGCTCGTTTCCCACCTGTCGGTTTTTATGCCCGGCCGCTAAACGAAGCCGTTGGTCGAAAACAAACATCTCATGAGAGACTGAATATGAGACAGAAGATGAAGTAAACACATGTTTAGCAATAAAAAGTAATTTTATTTATTTCAGAACCTTTTTAATAGAAAAAAACATTTATTATTTGTTATGTGACTGGTCTGTAGGAAAATTCCTTGCTTAAAAACAGAGGAGAGGACCTTCCCATGAGTGGAACGTAGCCGTCATTAATCCCACATGTGCTTTCCCTGCTGTGACACATCAGACTGTCAGCTGTAAACCAGGTCTGTTCAGGTTATCTTGCAATCAGCCTGTGTTAGTCACTGTTAACAAAGTAGGGATGCTTTTTAAAATAACGTAAACTGTTTTTATTTATTAATCAGTGCAGCTCAGCGGATGTATACATCAGGCGTAGGCCTACTGTAGTACGTCTACTATTTCCTCTGCACGTCACTCAGCTTCCTTCTCCTTTTACACTCTGCGTTATCGTCGTCAAAAATCCCCTCCACCACAGGAAACGGCAACCTGCACGCTGAAAACGCTTTTCTATGAAGATTTTGATCTCGCAAAAGGGCAGGCCTCCTTACGTACTCATGTTTTACAAAAGTAATCCCCCTCCAGAGGCACCGCTGCTTTTTACCGCCAAAGATGATTGTGATCAGTTCAAAGGGACCAAACAGGCCAGAATATTTCTGTCTGATAGCAGAATTATAACGAGGTGGAGCAAGACAAGTCATTAAATAACTCATAGAACATACCCAGTAGTCGGTGAAAGCATCACTTCTCCTTTTGTGCACACTTTTTCTGGGGACTTGCGGGAAGGTTAGAACTTCTCCAGGATGTTCCCCATCTGTGACACCTGCCTTTTAAATGTCCTGGAATGTTTGTTTGAGGAAATTGCTCAATTACTTATTCTTTACATTGTTTGTCTTTTTTCTAGGATAGCATAAAGGGACTACATGTGTAATGCCATCAGACAATCTTGTGTTGCATAATGAGAATTTGCCCCCATTTTGGTTCCATTTGAGAGCGTGGGAGTTGATATTTCAGCTGGTCACATTCGTGCGAGTGCCTGAGCAGCAGTTACTGTGTTGACCACAGTGGTGGGAGGCAGCACCTGTATAACTCTGGTGAGCTGCAGTATTTACGCCTAAAAATGCGATCTTCTCATGAAATGTGGAGCGCACCTGCAGCTGCTGTTTTCTATGACTCTTTTCAAAGCAGCAGCTACTGCAGCCTGCAACGTGGGGCGTTTAAGGAACATCTGTTAATCGTGGCGTCTGTCCATAAGCACATGTTCCCTAAACGCCCCACGTTGCCAAATAAGAAAATCACTGGAAAGGTTAGTCTGGAGCCCTGAGATGGTTTTCAGATCGAGTCTTATATGGGGCAGCGATCCTAAAAGTAAAGGTTTGTAATTCCCATATTGGTTTAGGATTGGGGCTGCAAGGTGGCTCCGTGGTTAGACAGTCGCCGGATGGATAGACCGCTCCATGTTTGCCTTTGGTCTGCTGTTGCCATCCTGGACCTTGGGTTTAGTGAGGGAGCTGACTATAAGCTAGACGACGGCTGGAAGGTTTAGTGAAGCCAGATAACGGGGAAAAAACAACTCCTGGGTACATTTTGCTTTCTTTGCAATCGAAACCTCTGGCTTACAAACATCACCTTTCGTTTGAATTTACATATGTTCCAGACACTGATTTTTTCCAATTTTTTGGGGTCAAAATGGAAAAAAAACCTTGAGTCATCGGCGAGAGATGAAGCATCTCACCGTTGTTCTGTGGTAGGAAGTGAAACTCGTGTGGCAAAGAAGGTACCAGGGTGTCTAACTGTCTGTGGCTTGTTGTGTTCCAGGTTTGTGTACTAGACCTGAGGAAATGACACACGCCTGGGGGAGCCATGGACCGACTACGAATGTGTACATAGCCAAAATGACTGTCCCTGCCTGTCCGCCACACTGCTGTAGTCCCGTCAGACGCCATGGCCCGCCGCCACAGCCAACCGGAGCGCTCCCTCCCTCCCTCCCTCATACGTACACACCAGGACCACACACATGCATCAGACACACAACAGGTCTGTGCGGACGTTTGTGTCGCTCCACAGACCAGAAACATTTCTTTGTTATCACATAGTAGAAACTTGTCGGACCCGTCACAAGCGAACCAAAACACCAGGATTCTTCTTGCTTTCCTCTTTTTATCCTTTGTATCAGAATTGTAAAGATTTTTTGTTCTCTGTTGGTGTGTGCATATTGCATATGTCAGCATTTGGTGTCCTGTGGACATTGTTGTGTTGAATTAGGATTTTACTGATCTCTGTAGGTTTTCTATTACATGTGGGGTGGGAGAGAAGAGAGGGGCTGTCGAGTCTTTTAACACGGACGTTCAGAGCTGTCGATCGGGAGATCCGTTCATTTTCCTCGTCTGCACTCGTCGAGGTTCAGAAATGCAGATGTACAGCGCTGAAGATGACTTCTAGTTTTGTCAACTCTATTTTTATCTGATAGGTTTGTTCCATTTTTGCCATTTTTTTAACAAAGTATAGTTAAGCGGAGGGCGACCTGCCCTTTGTTCGCAACTTTTATCCTCAGAAATGGTTTTCAGGTGATCACAGTTCATCAGGTTAAGACGGAGCCCTGAGGATTTCCAAGTCTCTCGGCCGAAAGATAATCTTTGCAACCGAAAGACATCGATGCAGATGAAGTGCTTCAGGTTCCCGTCGCTGAAGCCGAGTTGGTCCTGGATTTGTGTCTCACGGTTATGAGCAGGCGGCTTTAGTGTCAGCAGAGAGACGAATGGCCGAGCAGGCCCATGGCGGCTCGCATCCATCCGACGCCAACAAATAATCGTTGTAATTGCGCTTGTTTCCTCAATTTATGGCTGGTTGCTACCCAGCGCTGAACGATAATCAGACTAAGTCGGTCTAATTGCGTCCTGTTTCCCCTGCTGGGTCCTGACGCATCAGGACATCATCCTGAGCATCGCCACCGCCGCCTCCTCTGCAGGACCTCTGATCGGCTCTTTCGCGAGCTGACTCAGCGTCGACTCACGTCTCGGCCGAAGTGACGGTGCCGGAGTTCCAGTTCCAGTTTGTCATGTTGAGCAGCTGTTTGCAAAACGTTCACTCTGTAACGTGTGCAGCTTTCATGTCCGGTGTCGATCCAAGTACACACTACAGTCCCCGCTTTGGTTTGCTGTTGTCAGGCAGTTGTTGCCCAGCACTAACGCACGCACACACACACACACAAACACACACACACACACACACACACACACTCTCTGGAGACAGGCTGTATTGAGGCCTATGCACGGATAGACGGCGCTTTTGTTTGTAGTGTTCAGAGTCGGCGTTTTGAGGCAAGTCTGTGCTTGTTGTTAAAAGCAGCCTCGCAGCAGCATATGACTTGATGCAACGCGGTATCTGCATAACGTTAACGACGTGATGAATTAATTCCATGCAGATGCGGTGTTCCATCAGTATAAATATATATATAAATCTGTGCTATTACAGGGGATTCTGTTCTAAGCCACTCCTACGCTGAGGATGGATTTAAAACTCTTTGAAGACGCTTGAAATACAGTTTGTGATGTTTCGGAGCATCGCTGAGGGTTGTGACCATGAGGAATGGTTTTCTTTTTTATAAAATACCATTAAACAGTCATAGCTAAATAATAATAATTAAAAAAAGAAGAAGAGCGGCCCTTGAGGAGCGATTTCTTTTCCTGCACTTTAGACTGAAAATGGAGAAACAGGGAGGTGTGTTTGCCGAAGCCACCGCAGACACATCCGACGTTCAGAATGCTCTTAAGGCTGAATCAGAGTCGGTGCAGAAAGCGTGCAGCGTTCCGGCCGGTTGTTTAGCGCGAACGGCGTCTCGTCCGACTCCTCGGGTGCGTCGAGTAGAAACAAGCCGACTTCATGGCATTCCAGGTCTCATCTCGCAGCCACATCCAAGATCCAAACGGCTTGACGGGCGCGCACGTCGACGGACGTCTCAGAGGTTTTGTTCCGAATGTTACTTGTTTTGAAAATTAAAAAAAAAAATTTTGTACCGAAGCTATAGACTATTTTGACGTTTGCTTTAATACAGTTAGCGGAGATTGGACTCGATCCCAGATGATGTCTATGACGGTGGAATGGTATTTTATAACGGTTTGTTTTTAGACGAGAAGCTTTTTACACTGCATTCAAGTGTGTTTGCTATTTTTTGTTTTTGTTCCTACCGAAAGTACTAACGTTAATTCTATCTTTGCTATGTTGGAGAGCCCTTGAAGGTTTTGTACTTATCAAAACTTTTGTAATTTTGATTTATTTGTAGCTACGTACTCAAAATGAACAAAAAAAAAAAACCAACAACCATAGAATCTGGATTTAATTGTTGATGTATTATAACACACAGAACATGTAAATACCAATTTGCAGATTTTTTTTTTTTGTCTTTTCCCTCACCTATGTTGTACTCTCTTTCTCTCTCACTCACATGGTTGCAGTCTGCAACCTCCTGATCAGACTGTTGTAATATCACTCAGATCTCAAGGTCTAGAATAAAATCTATTTTGATAATATGAGTGTGTCTGCTCCTTCGCCGTTCATTTTCACATTGCTGTTGGATTCTACCCCCACACGGACACGCACAGAATAATAAATGAATAAATGTTACTGTGACACCATTCACTAACTTTTAAAACTACAGCCAACAAAGACTTTGACACCAAAAGTGATCATTTCTATATAAACGTACAGGACTGGGGCTGCAAGGTGACTCAGTGGTTAGCACTGTCGCCTCACAGCTAGAAGGTTGCTGGTTCGCGTCCTGGTGAGGACACCCGGGATCTTTCTGCGTGGAGTCTCCATGTTCTCCCCGTGCAGCGTGGGTTCTCTCCGGGTTCTCCGGCTTCCTCCCACAGTCCAGAAACATGCTGAGGTTAATTGGTGATTCTAAATTGTCCGTAGGTGTGAATGTGAGTGTGCTTGGTTGTCTGTCTCTAAGTGTAGCCCTGTGATAGACTGGTTACCTGTCCAGGTGAACCTGCCTTCACCCTGAGTCAGCTGGGATAGACTCCAGCCCCTCATCACCCTAGTGAGGATTAAGAGGTGTATACATGATGGATGTATATTCGAATGCACAGTCATGAAACACAACTATTTCAAATTTTAATTTATTATTACTTTTTTCAGTTTCTAGTTATTTGAGTGACTTGTGAATTTTGCCTTTTCTTTAATGGAAAGTGATGAATAAATCTGAGGACGACTGTACAACACATTCCCTCAGCTGTATCGCTCATAAAAAAGCATCAGGAAACGATTTGGTTAAAGGGAGACGCTTCTTCCAAACAAGTTGAATCCGAGACTCTGAACAGATCCTGCTCCCAACCAGGTTAGCTCCACAGCATTGGTTACCACGGAGATCTAGCTCCATAGCATCAGTTACCATGAGATCAAGCGCCACAACATCAGTCACCATGGAGATCTCGTTCCATAGCATCAGTTACCATGGAGATCTAGCTCCACAGCATCAGTTACCATGGAGATCTAGGTCCACAGCATCAGTTACCATGAGATCAAGCGCCACAACATCAGTCACCATGGAGATCTTGTTCCATAGCATCAGTTACCATGGAGATCTAGCTCCACAGCATCAGTTACCATGGCGATGTAGCTCCACAGCATCAGTTACTTGCTTCATAGTACAGCCCTGTTTAAGAGCTGCATGTGTCAAGTATACATAGCAGCGCTGGCTGAGGAACAGCCCAACATTAGATGGGTTGGAACAACAGTCCTCATCATGTTGTTTTCCTTCAGCGCCACCATGAGGATGACGTCTTTGTTTTTCAGTCAGATGCTCCGTTGGTTGTCTGGAATCAGCAGTTGTTCGTGTCACTGCTCACAGGTCAAAGTTTCAATTGAATACTTTGGGTTCTCGAAATCATGGTGCTCCCATCAGCTTCAGCCTTGTGCTCAGTGCTAATGAACAAATGCTAGCATGCATGTTAAATTCTACACCTGCTTAACGCACATATTAGCATTTAGCCCAAAGCGCTGCTGTGAGTAAATACAGCCTCATGTAGCGGCTAGCACGGCTGAAGAGTTCTAGTCCTGTTAAAATGATGTGCAACAGAAAACAACTGCCTTGTCTGTTACTGCACAATGTTGTACAAAACAAGGAGGCACAATGTTGGATTTCTGCAAATATCTACCAACTGATTTGGCTGATTTCCAATAGATGCACTTTTTTTCTTTTTACACATAATTGCAGAGAACATCAGTTCTCTTTATTAGTAGACATAACATATTATTATTATGCTAAATACATACAGATATATATATATATATATATATTATAATGTACATATGCTCTTATCGTGGTCGGTACAGACACAAAATTCAATGCCTCTCATAAGTATACATTTACAAGACGAAACAGGAAACTACCTTAACACCACATTTATTCTGTTCTTTCAAACTAATTTGTAATGGTGTAACCTGACAGCCGCTATCTGTTTGTCAGTTTTCATTTTGGCTCAACGCAGATGTTTATTTTCAAAGCCTTGTTCTGATTTATGATGCCAGTACTCTCATGCATCTCGAGAACAAAGTTTTCAAAAAAAAAAAAGTTTATCTGCTTTTGTAAATGTCATTTAGATGATAAAGCCCTCAGATGAGATAATACAGGAGTTTTTCCACCGGTGTTAATGAGATCTAATCATTATTTTGTCACAGAAAGCTTTGCATGATATTTAACATACAGCCCTTTTGTATTCTCAGTAAGTTATAAAATTAACTTTCTCTTATTTCAGCTCAACACCAAAATTAAACCCGTTACATGTGGTGTCTTTTTTGACCTTTACGTTTATCTAAAATAAAGTTAATGTGTTTAAATAAAGTATGACTGAAAGAAAACAACATGTCTTGTGATGATTTTGTGGGAAAACCTAGTATCTTGCATTCACATCTTGTGCTAGTTATAGCGAAGCGGGACAAGGGACGAACATCTTTTTTCAATTTTTCTTTCGGAGCAGTGGCTGAGGATTTATTTCAAAAATTATATGTAGGTATATTTTTTTTCATACACCACTTGAAAAATCTCCAGAAAGGACCAGAAAATACTCTCGTGATTAGTTGTTAGCAAAAATGCTACTTTTACAACAACTAATAATTATACTACAAGTCTTAAATTTTGTAAATAAACATTATGTCTACCTAGGAACTAAGCCAATGTGAGGCTAAAACAGATTTTTACTGGGATGTTGCTGGAGATTTATTTTTTTCTATTGCTAGGTAGTTTGTACATCGTTGCTTGGGCGGAGGTGTCGCGTACAGTCAACCTAAAGGGGAATTTCCTCCATCCGATTTTTTTGATTGGGTTAATAAAAAAAAATATTCACTTTTATTCTCAACGCAAATATTTTGGTTATGCTTATTATTAAGACTAAGGTAACAAAGACACTTTTCTGTGTCTTTACATTACTGTATTCACCCACATGTGCTCCCAGACCCCCCTCTCTGTGAAGGCAGTTTGGTTCCTGCCAGCGGAGAGCGCTTGTCTGGTAGAAACGGCGGAGTTGGTGGAGTCTCTCAGCGGCGGCTGTGGACGTCCGGGGTGTGACCGCAGTGTCAGGTATGAACACCCTCCTTCATCACGAGCCGTGAAAACACTATAAATATAATACTTTTTTAAAAAAAAAGAAAAAAAGGTCGGAATATCCGTGTTTATCGTGACTTTAGCTCGACCGGTTAGCCGGCAGCTAAACGCAATAACGTTAGCTTGCCGTCATTAGCGGTTACGAGCAGCGAAGTTGTTTTTGAAAAAAAAACAAAACAGAAAGCTTTATAGGGTTAAAATAAGACTTAAAAAACAGTGGATAAACGTATTCACAGAGTCAAATTAGTGTAAGATTAAACAGAAGCAACATATTGAAAATGCGATGTGTTTTTGAAAACTTTAAAAACTGCTTAAGCTAAGCTAAGCTGCCGTTACCTCTGATAAGAAGAAAAGCATTTGTTGTTAACATGTTCATTTTTATTTTTAATGTTGCTTTTAAATTCAGTAGTCAACGCTAAATAATTGTTTGTTTTTAAATTCAAATTTAAATACTTAAATTGTGTAAACTGGAGAACCGATAGACCGACAAATACCACGGTGTTGTCAGTAAAAAGTGTTTCAGTACCAAAGCATTAGCATCAAAGTTTGTGTATTTTTGGATTTTACTTATTAATACATTAATGTGTTCATCACTTTAATTCTGAATCTGGTAAAGGTAATTTTATTGCTTTATATCGGCAGGGTAACTTGTGAATTTCCCCTCTGGGATCAATAAAGTTTTATCTTAAGCTGTAATATCTTTATTTCTTTGATGATGTGTTTTGCATCATTAAACAAAAAATGTAAAATAACTACAGTTTACAAATACCTGTGGTGGAGTAAAAGAAAAACCCAATGTTAAGTTCTTGACTGTGTTGGAGTGAAGGTGTGAGATGTCTTCAAATGGAAACAGGCTGGTAGAGTTCACTGAACTGAACTGAACTTTGCATTTAATTAGCCTGCTAGAATAAGTGTACTTAGCTGCTGTCTACAATGTGTGATGCAGGCAAATTTGTCTGACGTATTTAAATTTCTCTGAGAAGTGGGACTGTGAAACTACAAACCACCTCGTAGGTGTTGGTAAGCTGCACTCGTGTTATTAGATTTTATCCTGAGGGACACGCACACGAATGACATTTGAAAAAATAAAAACATAATTACTACCAAATGACCAGTTTCCTCTGGAGAACAAATGAGGAAATTACCACCAAATTCCAGTCCCCATAAGTTTTTTTATTATTCCTGCAACTGGCTCAACTCTTCCTGTGGGAAATGTCGGTTTGTATGTAAGGATAACTTATTTGATGTAAATTGCCCATGTGTTTGCATTTTAGCCCTGTGGGGCAGCTCCTTGTGGCACTGATGCTCCGTTCAACAGTGAGGAGAGAGAAAGCGTTTTCTGTTTGCTGATAGAGAAGAGTACAGTCCCTTCAGCCTCAGAAGTATATTGATTCACCACAATCAAGGACAGTTGAGATACTGGCAATGCTTTGAATATCTTTGATTCTTTCTAAGTCCACATGTGCAAGTTAATTGTCAGCTTCTGATTAGTTTCAGTCGTGAGTGTGAACGCTCTGATGTACCACAGTGGGCGCTAAAGTCAACTGGAGTAAACTTTAATTTAATTTCCATAGTGCTGTATTGCTTTTGTGGCCTGGCT